CTAAGTACATTAACACAAGTGGTGACACAGAGGTGGAAGAAGTACTCAGATATGTTCCTTAAAAGTAGTAGCAATACAGTCGAATTACACGGAAATTATCAGCTTATTATTTATCAAAGATGTTTATTTTTCAATATAAGTGTTTTTGTGCCCAATGACCTACTTCGGGCTTGGAGATGGCCCTGTACAGAACACAATTTAACTAACTTCAAGTATATATATTGATAAGTAATGAAGAGCATGGTTACATTTAGCAGTGGTGCAAAGTAACTAAGTACATTTACTCAAGTGGTGACTCAGAGGTGGAAGAAGTACTCAGAAATAAAGCAACTTTCTAAAACTCACCACAGTTTAAAGCCCATTCTAACGGCCCGTGCACACAGCAGCGTGCGTTGCTTCAACGGAGATGCCTCCCATTCACTTTGAATGGGGTGACGTCACGCTTTGCCGAACTGCATTGTGGTTCCGTCGTGTCGGCGACCCCGCTAAAATAACTGGATGGCCTATCTGCCTGTCAGCCTTCCATCTCGTGCACAAATGTATCTCCCTCATTGGTCATGTGCGCGTTCGTGTGTTGGAGGAGGGGCTCTGTGAGGAAGTCTGAAGGAAAGGACAGATTTTTTCCGGTTGTGTACTTTCAAATTCTAGCGCTAGTGATGGGTATTTCGATTCCCTTCGGGGACATGAATCTTTTGATTCAGTTCACTTTAAAGATTCGTTCACTGATTCGTTCACCGGTTCGCGAACGACTTCTGGTGATTTGCACGTTCGCGAACGATTCGTCTTTGTACTTAACCTGTTAAGCCCGAGAGACCCCGGTTCCAGGGGCCTCCTGCAACATCTTGCAGGAAACAGTGTCTGAGGGCATGTTCATCTAATAAACTATGAATGTTTTATATCCATGTAACGGAAAGAAACTCATCTAACTGATAATTTTAATATTTTTTTCAACAAAAAAACCCACAACGCTAACGCTGAGCCTCTGAATTAGCAACGAGCGAAAAATGCTAACAGATGACTGCACCGAAATTCACTCACAAAACCTTATTATTTATCTTTGCTGCACATCCAACCCATCGTTTCACATTGTGAGGGGATACAGAATTGAGGGCTACCCTCATTATCACTCAATTATACGAACTCTCAGAGATAATAACAAGAACACACATCAAAACATATGGAGCTAGGTAGCTAGAAACGCTAACATGGCTCACCTCTGTTGTAGTCTGGTCAAAAGTGGTCTTCAATGGCATTCAAACGATAAAAACGATGCTGAAGTTAATCTATAGGTTAATCAAATGTGTCTGTCACTTTGAATGATTTCTGATAATCCATGAGCAATAAATCTGCTTTTCGGTTTTGAGATGTCAGACCTAGAGACAGCTTCACTCTGGAGCAAAACGGCCTGCGCGAAACCCACACCTTTTCGCGAACAGCTTCTCTTTAGCTTTTGGCGGAAGGCGGCGACTGAAACAAACAAATCGTTTTGTGGGAGGAATCAGTTCATCTCGTTCACTTCAAAGATTCGTTCAAAAAGAACGAATCGTTCGTGAACGACCCATCACTATCTAGCGCACTCGAGCTGGTTTCTCCAAAATTACATACCCCACCTTTAAGTACGATTTGAAATGCTGGACTTTTACTTGTGACAGAGAAGTTTTACTATGTAGTCATCAAAACATACTTGATGTACCAAAAGTCTCTTTTGTGCATAATGGCCATTTTAGAAACATATATAAAATGACTTGTGTCCATCACAGCTTGTAAAGGTCAAGCTCATTTTACTAACTTGATATACTGCTGCTGGATATTTAAACATATTTAAGTCCAAGTTTTTGTATTTGCTGATTATTATTTTTGCATTAGCTTAGAATCTGAAATTGTAGAGTAAATAAACCTGTTCAAATAAATGTTGTGGAGTTGAGTACAATATGGCTTCTAAAATAAAATAGCATATATTGAATACAGTACATACTTAAGTAAATGTATCTTCCCCCACTGACTGCACTTATGTACAACTTCAAAGTACCTGTATACCTGAGTTTTTTCTTTCTATGCCACTTTATACTTCAACTCCATTCATTTCAAGGGGTACCTTTTACTATTTTTTGTGATTTTGAGCTGTATAAATAAAATGTGATTGATTAGTTTTTACCTACTTACATACCTACATTAGATTCAAGATTCAAGGCACAGTAACTACAGTGTACATATGGCAATGAAAAACTTAAGTCCCAGCCTCCTCCTCCTCTTCACGTTTGTATTTTGTTGGTCGAACGCACCTATTGTAAGTCGCTTTGGATAAAAGCGTCAGCTAAATGCAATGTAATGTAATGTAACAATGCAACATGATATATATAAAACGAATAAAACCAATAAAATAGTGCAAGAAATAACTGATACCTTCTACTTTTTCTACTTGTATCAATGCAGTACTTTAACTTGAAATGATTTACAGTGTAGAATTACTTAACTAAAGAATCCAATTGTTATTTTCCATCACTGGCACTTAGTTAGACGTATGTATATGTTCGTGACTGAAACCTTCAACTCCATTCAATTCAAAGGGCTATTTTGGGCTACATAAATTCAATTTGATTGATTCAATTTGACCTACTCCTAATAAGTATAAGTATCTGATACCTTCTACTTGTTTTACTTCTCAATGCAGTACTTTTTCTTGTAATTGAGTATGTTTAGAATTACTGAATGTACTTAAAGGTCCCATGTCATGCTTTTCTGGTTATTACCCATCCCCTTGTGTGTTATGTAGCTTTTTCCGCATGTAAACAGTCTGCAGTCACAAACCCTCAAATTACACCCGGTTGCTAACAAACGCCATTGTAACACATAATCACTGATGTTCCGCTGTAACGGTGGTTGACTCATCAGAACAGAGTGGGCGAGCTGACCAATCAGAGCACAGTGGGCTCATAGGGGAGGGGGGGGGGGGGTGGCAGGAGCTCCAACAAAGCGTGTAGGACAGAGTGTACATACTATAGAGATGCTGTATGAAAAATAATGTAAATGTACTTTTCCATCACTGGCACTTAGTTTGATGTATATAAATATGTATATGTTCGTGACCGAGACTAAAGCAGGAGCTCATGCAGAGTATGGTGTATGGGATCTCAAGTGGGGCCTCAGAACCCCCCCCCCCCCCCCACACACACACATCAGTTTGGAGACGTGCTTTATCCATTTAGCCACACAGGACTGACTTAGCTCTGCCAACTTAGATCAGAAGTGCTGTGTGTGTGTGTGTGTGTGTGTGTGTGTGTGTGTGTGTGTGTGTGTGTGTGTGTGTGTGTGTGTGTGTGTGTGTGTGTGGTGTGTGTGTGTGTGTGTGTTGTGTGTGTGTGTGTGTGTGTGTGTGTGTGTGTGTGTGTGTGTGTGTGTGTGTGTGTGTGTGTGTGTGTGTGTGTGTGTGTGTGTGTGTGTGTGTGTGTGTGTGTGTGTGTGTGTGTGTGTGTGTGTGTGGAAACAGCAGCCGGCGGACAGTCTCACAGTCCCAGCTGACATGAGGACTGCATCACACGCCGTTAAACGTGCATTCGGGGATAAAGATGGGTGGGATTGGAGGGGAATGAGGCAGAGGATGGGAGAGGGGCGCAATGCAGGAGTGGAAACAGAGGATGGAAAGAGAGACAGAGGAAAGAGAGACAGAGGAGGAAAGGAAAGCATGTTTTTGCACACCGTGACAGAACAGAAAGCCTTCTTCGAAAGGTGTCTGCCAATGGGAGCCTTTCTGCGCTTCAGAGGCGGCAGACAGTGACTGTTGTTGAGTCACTTAAAGAAAAGCTGTTTGGTGTGTAGGATTTGCGCAGTGGGAAAAACAAAGCTTTCCCCTCAGAGCACTCTCACATCTGAGACACTTTCTACCCTACACCTGCTCAGCTTCTGTGGTACAGCTGCTCAGTTCATTGAAATCGCAATATGGACAAGAGGAAGATATAGATTGCAAAGAGGACACATATTGCTCTCTGGGGGAGTGCGTGGGAGAGAAACTCCCTCTGGGGGGATCACAGGGATTTGAGGCTTTACAGACCATTTAGATCAGGGGTGTCAGACTCAAATACACAGTGGGCCAAAATAAAAAAATGGGTACTAGTCGAGGGCCGGACTGGTTCAATGTTTATTGCAGAACTTATTGAAATGAACTTATTGTACATTTTAAACCTGGAACTAACAAAGCTTAAATTATTGCCTATAAAAACAACATTAAATAATCAGTTGCATTCATTTCTTATGGCTCTATCTGCAGCTTTTCCAGAGTCATTTCTTATGATCACATTTTCCCACAGGCCAACAACAGTTTCAACAAAACTATTTCCCTCAAAGAAAAAACCAAACATGCCCTGTTGTCGTGAGAGAGAAAGTGCAGAAGGAAACATCCATTAAACTCAGTGTGCTGCTCTGTGATGCTAGTTCAGATACTTGGCATCTCATCTTGGGTGCAAGGTCATCAATGTTTGGGCTCAGGCTCTGAGCGGAGGAGACCCTCAGGATGGAGTGAAGGTGTGCGTGCAATATACCGGCGGGCCAGATCTAATAGTAATTAGAAATTATCCTGCGGGCCGAAATTAAATCCACCAAGGGCCTGATTTGGCCCCCGGGCCTTGAGTTTGACACATGTGATTTAGATGCACAAAAACCTATATGACACACTACAGGAAAGAGAAACTCCCAAAAGCATAACGAGGCCTCTTTGAATATGTGTTAAAAGTCAAATTTGAATGAAGTATTGTTCAGCTGCAGAGATGTCTTGGTATAAAAATCGTATTCGACAGACTTAACAAAAACACATTTGTTCGATACAGATCCTCTTAAGAAAGTTGCACCATGATCTTGCACTATATTTTTCAATGATAATGAGAATAATAATGCAACAATGAATCACATCACAATTACGATATTAGTTGGAAAAATCGGAATTAATAATTGTTTGACTGAAGTATAATCTCCCCATTGAGTTTGTCCCTCTCTTTTGTCTCCCTCAGATCTGCTTTGTGAATCTGGACCCTCAGAAAACAGACTATCGCGACGACAAAAGCATCAAGGTGAGCATAATCTTCATCCCTTTTTTTCCCGCCTACTTTTAACCTCCCAGGAAATCTGTATTTCACATTATAATCATCGGCTCAGTTGCCATGGAGTCAAGATCATTACCCAGAATTAGAGGGCTGATTGGTTTGGATGATGTGCAGCGTTTGCAGCTGGCGGTTGGCAGCATGGCACATGGCTGAAGACTTCTCACAGAAATCATTTTATAATTATGTGTTGGAGCACACAGCATGCATTATTTTTTTTGAATCATCTCACACTGTCAATGTGCTCCGGCAGAAACTGGCATCAGTGTCTCCAGACCTGCCAAAGATGGTGGAATTGCTGACTGTCCACCAGCCCAAAGAAAATGAGATCCTACTTCTGGGTGGGCTGGAGGCCTCAGAAACCTGCCAAACACTCCCCCTCTCCCCCTCTAAGGTGAGTCTTTGAGTCCTTACAAGTATATCCAGCCTTTAAATAGCTGGAAGGTGGTGCAAAGCAGAAAGTGCAAGCTCTTGCTTTGTGCCGCAATTGTGTGGCACAGTGGGTTGTGCGTTGGTGTTCGGATCAGGGGGTCACAGGTTCAAACCCCAGTGCAGTCAGCATGTCGTTGGCCGTTTCTCAATCTCGAGGATACTGGCTTCCAAGCCAATATTTCAAGGATGCTACGTCATCAAGTGGCGCAGCAGGACCGTTCCAATGTCCAGCATACTTTGAATTCCACCGAGGCCGCTTCCTTGGTTTGGGGGAAATTTCGAGGCTGCACATGGGTAGACTTCGCATCCTTAAAATCCCCACAATGCTTTGCGCACGGACCAATTTCAAAAACCCTTGCGGAGAATGGCTGAACCGACGCAGCACACATTTAAATGTAAGTATGTAGTGGCGTAGAACATGTGTTGGTAAATGTGTTACTTTGTTTTTTTGTTTGTTATCAACAAAAAGGTGTTCCGTGAAAGTAAAGCAAGTTCATAATTAGATAGACATCGTGAGGTATTTATTTTCGGTACAGTTTATGTTGAAACCGTTAGAGAGGCACACTTGTTAGCCTGTTCCATTCTTCTTCGTTTTCCGAAGCTGTGGCTTGGAAGCATACTTGCTTAGTTTCTGAAGGAAGTGACTTGGAAGTACGCAACTACCAAGCCAGCATCCTCGAGATTGAGAAACGGCCGTTGTGTCCCTGAGACACTTCACCCCAAATGGCTCCTGTGGGGATTGTCCACAGTATTGAGTATGGAAGTCGCTTTGGATAAAAGCGTCTAACAAGTGACATGTAATGTCATGTAATGTGTGATTAGGTTTCATCCTTTGGTGCCAGGAAGAAATCCACTGGAGCCACTTCATTCATTTAATCTAGTTATTCTAACCCATTCACTCCAATACAAACATCTCACCCTCTGTAGCATAGCAAGAGTGGCCTACTTTTTTATGAAAAACATGTACAATTTCACACTACTTTGAGGATTTAAACAAGTATAGAAAAACAAACTATAGCAGCTAAATAATATCCCTTTCTGTTTTGATCTGTATTAATCCCTAAATCCAATATTCCCTTGCAACCACTGAACATTTCACAGACTTTTTATCCACCAAATAAATCATTGTATAAAACACTGTTAGAATCAATACACAGCCTGAGGAGACAATTAAACTTGCATGAGCATATCTAATGAATTAGTATGCGGAAGAAATGAACAAAAACAGACAGGTCTAAGATGTTTATGATGCTATATCTCATTGTGTGACTGTATGTGTTGTCTAATGTGTGCTTTCATCATTGTTTTGTATCTCTCTGAGCATGTATTAACATTAATGTGGCTATTCCTGGGGTTTCATTTAATTACATTTTGGTCATTTTTAAACATTTTGAAGCCATATGAAGTAAGGTGAGAGTGTCCGGCAAACATTTTCCAAAAGCACGCACGGAGATGCTGTTTGGTTCCACTCGAAAACAAGAAACTAAATCATTCCAAAATCCAAATGTCAGCTTTGTGAACCGGTATTCAAATGTCAAAAGTAAGGAGTCAAAAATTAAGTCCAAAATGTAGTAGTCAAACATTTGTCAAATAATAACCCAAATGATGCGCCCCGATACCATTCATGAACAAAAAGTTGCCCATTATCAAAACATTATAACATACTGTAAATCAGGGGTGTCAAACTCAATTTCATCACGGGCCGAAGGTTGCACTCAAAGGGCCGGTTGTAACTTTAAGACTATATAAAAATACATATATAAATATTTAATATATATAAAATAATGCATTATATTACATTATTGCCTCTGCATTGGATTATTATCGGATAGGGTAATAACTTCATAGTTAACTACGTCTGAAAGCAGAAGTCTAGGGCAAATAATTGCAAGTCTCTTCAGTGAGAATGTTACAAAATGATTTAAAAAGAAAAGCCAAATTCTGGAAAAACAAAAAAAAAGAATTGACGTTTTGAAAAAAAAATCTAATTTGGAGAAAAAGGCAAATTCTAAGAAAAAATGCATATTTTGAAGAAAAAAAGGCAAATTCTGAGAAAAAAGTCAAATTTGAGATGCATTGTGGGACATGTAGTTTATGGGCAACGTGCTTCTGTAAAGTAATAATAATACATTACATTTATAAAGCGCTTTTCCTGGTGCTCAAAGCGCTTACAAGAAAGTAAAACAAAATAACAACAAAAGTAGAAAGTGCTAAGCTAGGAGGAATAAGGGCAAGGGGTTAGTTGATTAGGAGTTGAAGGCAAGAGTGAAAAGGTGAGTTTTGAGGGATTGTTTGAATGATGTGAGAGTGTTGGCGGATCTGACGTGGCATGTAACCGTATAATAAACATATTATATTCTTTGCAAGCTCTTGTGGGGCCACATAAAATGAAGTCGCGGGCCGGATTTGGCCCCCGGGCCTTGAGTTTGACACCCCTGCTGTAAATACTAGATTGCATTAGTATCTTAACAGTTCTAAAAAATATACTGTAACTCAAAATACATCTGTTGGATATACCCATCATGAATCATAAGCTATAAATGGCTCCATACATGGTCAAGCATCAGATGTATTCTATGCATTAATGCACACAATGTACAACAATATCTGTTTTGTATCATTACTGCCGATTTGTATTCTATATTTTATTCCTTTTTATTCCATTCAATTTCCATGTAAATACTGTTATATTTGACTATATTTTTGTATTATTTTAAATATTTTTCTAGTTCTCTATCTGTGTTTTACATTTTTGTTAATTTTAGTTGTTCTTTTATGTATGCACCACGACATCAAATTCCTCGTACGTGTCAACCTACCTGGTAATAAACCTGATTCTGATTCTGATTCTGTTCTCCTCAGCCCGGCCAGCAGCAGCACAGAGGTACCGGTGTGTGTCTGGTTCAGTGTTCAGCACAGAGACGCTCCACCCAACAGAAGAACATCATCTACGAGATCAACAAGTTCCTGATCGGTCTGCAGTGGGGGAAGGAGCGCCAGCTGCAGCAGGACCGAGCAGCCGGGCAGCGGCTCGACGACGACACCAACCGCTCCATCTCCTCCATCGAGGAGGACTTCCTGACGGCCTCCGAACACCTCGGAGACGACAGCGAGGAGGATGGCGTCAGAAACGGTGAGCCTCCTTCCCTCCACCATAGAGGTTTTGTTTTCAGCCGTGTAGGAGCCACATGTAAGGTCTCTGTGGGTTTGTTTTTGTATTACTTAGTATTGGTGGTGGGCGTGTTCACTGAAGCTCGGGGCGGAGTTCATAGTTGTTATACCTGACAACTCTCACCTACTCACTTGGGTTTTTGCATGGACAGAGAGAGGGGCTGAGCCGGGGAGTGAAATATTCTGTAGATCGCAATCCCACTTCCATCACACTCAAGTCGAAGTCAACTTTATTGTCAATCTTTCAGTTTGTGTGTACAGACAGAGAGATCGAAATCCCTTTTCCCACAATCCTGAATACAAAAATACAAATATATATATACAAATATCTATGCAAATATGTATATACCTATATATACACAATCAAAACACACATTTATACATATGCAGTGCACACATTAAGACCTAAATAAAAGCACATCAATCAATATATACAAAATAACAGTCACTTCAATAACTTTGAGAAATGCGCATTAGTGCAAGATTGTACATAGCTGCGTAAAAAGTGACTGGTGCTGGATTTGAGTGTGTGGGGTGTTAACGTCCAGGTCCAGTGGGGGCATGGGGGAGAGGGGGGAGAGCAATCGCACTAACCGTAATTGGTACTGGATTGGATTGGATTTCTTTGCTGTTTTTGTGGAATAAGTGTAAGAACTAGGGAAGAGAAATAGAGCTACATTTTAGTTTTCTACGAATTCTGAGATTTAAGTAGGATTTCTGAGTAAACATCTGAATTCGGAGAAAAAATAGATGGATAAGTTTATCCTGACAGTAAGGTACATTTGTTTAACTTAGAGTGCAAACATCTACATCTATGGGAAGAGTGGTTAAATATCTCATAACTCATTTTTAGCAACCGTTGAAGTAATGGCTGTTTTCCTACGCTACCTTTCTTAGATAGATAATACAAATATGTCAACAACTCTGACAATTTTGCACATATCTAACTAAAACTATTACACACTAAATAAGTGTGTATATTCTAAACATTATTTTAGACTTTTGAAATTGCAGTTGTATAGAAAGCACTGGCAGATTTCCCTATTGACTAAGAATGTATGATATGAGAGAAAGTTATGTATTCAAATGTTGTTATGTTGTTGGTGAATTAAATAAGGGGAAATGAAAGACAAAACCCAACTCCAATATTCAGGGAAAGGTAAAACAAGGTTAGGCTTTACTGCTGTGACACTTTGCAAACTGATGGAGCTGCTCCTTAATCAGTGAGGACATGTTTCATTCCCTGTCCTCCTCTGTTTTTCTCTGTCTCCTCACAGAAGCAGAGAGTGACCTGGCAGAGAGCTCGGCTGAGTCTTCACACAAACACTGTGTCAGGCTGTCATGTCAGAGAGCCCAGCTGGCCCACCATCAGAACAGGGAGGAAGCAGAGGGGAAAAGGGGAGGGCAGCATCGGCGAGCCAGCTTCCACACTAAGGAATCAGCGGGTCACTACGCCACCAATCTGGCTGAGTCGGTACTGCAAGACGCCTTCATACGCCTCTCTCAGGATGAAACCTCCTTTGTCTCAGAGGCGGCCGTCAGCGTGTCCCTCTCCACTGGTCCCTCAAAGACCAAAGGGCCTTCCCAACAGCGCACCTGCTCCTTTGAACTCCCCAAGATTGTTATAGTTCAAAGCCCGGACAGTTCTGAAGGGGCTGCCGAGTGGGCTGAGACCCATGTGTCTCATGTGCCTCACCAGGATATCCCTGCCAACGCCAGTGAGTTGCCAGAGAAAGGGAAACAGGCTGACATCCCCCACCACAATGGAGGGCATCCATCCAAACATGTCGAGGTAGCTTTGGCCTGTGCTGCCAGTATCATTGGCACCATTACCAACCCGCAGCTGACCGAACAGCTGGCCATGGAATCGGCTGAGGAGGAAGACCCAGAGGAGGATCTGAATGAACCAGAGGAGGGATCTGACTACTCCTTCTCCTCAGCCATGTGTGGCATGGCTCAGGTAGCTGGTGCTGTAGCGGCTGTGGAGCTAACAGAGGGGTCAGCGGAGTGCGGCGATTCTGACGCAGAGTCTGCAGAAGCCTACACAGCGTCTCGTGGTTTGATGTCTGCAGCCGAAGCCTCTGCGGCCGTCACGCTGCACTGCAGTGTGGCAGAGGGCACCAGCGTGGAGGCGTTTCGGGCAAACATTGCTGAGGTCCTACACAGGGAGGCAGCTGAGGTACTGACTCAACCGCAAGGCTACAAGAGTGTCGCCCATCTGCTGGAGGCCACGCATAACAAGATAGTAGATGGCATTACGTGTCCAAAACAATCCTACATGGATGAAAGAGAGGTGGATGACTTAATAAATGAAGTGGCAGACAGCTTGTTCAAGCATGCTTTCGAGAAAGCAAAAAATAAAAAAGAACTGGAGGGTACCGGAAAAGATGCACCAGGCCTTCAGGTTTTCCTGCAGGACAGCGTTAACAACCTGCTGTTCGATATCCTTTGTTTGACACAGAAGAAAATAAGTCACGTCTCTAGATTTGACCAAGGGCCATTTGACACACAAGAGGGTGATACGTGTGCTAGGGAGCCTCCTAACATTAAGGAGAGTAAGGATCCATTCAGTCAATTACAGTGCTTAGTTGGCCATAGCCAGTCCACTAATAGTGAGAACCACTGCAGCGCACCACACTGCACAGATAAGCTTCCCATGTTTCCTGGGTGGAAGGATAAATATCTGCTTGAAGAAAATGATCAAATGTCATATTCCCCCACAGCTCACAGCAAAGACCAGCATCAGTCCTCATGCAGACAAAGTCAATCTAGATCTTTCTCTGACCCCCAGCAGGGCAGTGGTCCTATCAGAGAACCTTGAGTGAAATCCAGGTTCACAGCACAGAGAGGAGAGGACGTCTAGTGACAAGCAGCGACAGCAGACAGTCCTCTCTCACCCCTCAGTCCTCCCTCACACCCCAGTCCTCCCTCAACTCCTGCAGTTCTCTGCTATCTTGGAGAATGGATTCAGAGACTAGGACACCCATTAATTGCTATGCAGATGATTTGTCTGCCACAGTGGTGTCAATGGCCACAGAACTGGCAGCCATCTGCCTGGAAAACAACACTGGGAAACAACCGTGGTTCTGTGCCCTCAAAGGGTCGTGTCCCGATGGGTCAGAGGCGTACTTTATCCCTGCTTGCCGCACAGTGCTCAGGAGGAAAGAGGCACAGAACAGCAATGCTGCCTCCAAGAAACACCGGGCTCCACGCCTCAGTGAGATCAAGAGGAAAACAGAGGAGCAACCAGAGCTGATGGAGCGCCTGGTGAACCGGGTGGTGGATGAATCAGTAAACCTGGACGAACCACAGGACCCTTTTGCCCTCTTTGCTTCCGAAGTCACGGCCAGGATCATGAACTGCCCTGAGCTCAATGTGATTGATACCTCCAAAACGGGCCTGCCACGCAGCAGGTTGCAGTGTGAGAGGTGGAGCCGTGGGAAGGCTTCAAGCTATGAGAGTATTCCAGAAGAAGACTCAGACCGCTCAGGCACATCCAACACCCTGGGCCTCGGCAATCGCTTAGGTCAGAACTTGAGCCGCGGTAGCTCGATCTCTAAGCAGTCCAGCTGTGAGAGCATCACGGATGAGTTCTCACGGTTCATGGTCAACCAGATGGAGACTGAGGGCAGAGGCTTTGACCTTCTGCTGGACTACTACGCAGGGAAAAATGCCACCAGCATTCTGACGGCAGCTGTTCAACAGGCCGCCTCCAAGAAAAACGGACACCTTAATGTCAAGGCCTCATCCTGCCTGTCCAAACAGTCCAGCACAGAGAGCATTACAGAGGAGTTCTACAGGTTTATGCTTCGGGACATGGACAAGGAAAACAGAGAGTATGGCATCGCCAAGACCAAGGAGTGGAGCAACAGCCTGTTCCCCCCTTCTCATAGAACTCCTTTCTGCATACGACAGTCCTCCGTCCCAGATCGGCGCTCCTCGGACTCGCGACTGACCGTCAACTCGCCCATTAAGGCAAACTCTTTTGACGGATTCGCCCGCAACATGCATGGAGACACGCTGAATATCTTCCCCACCATCTCATTGTCAGCCACAGGACTGTGTAAGTCCGACTCCTGCCTCTATCAGAGGGGAGGGACGGATCAGATCACTGACATGCTGATTCATGAGACGTGGTCGAGCTCCATCGAGTCCTTGATGAGAAAGAACAAGATCATTGCTGATCCCGAGGACAGTATTGATCTGGGGGCAGCAGCGGACTCTCAGCCCCATGTGCAGCAGTTCGCCAATCGCATGGCAGCTGACATTGTAGATATTGGCAAGTCTGCCATGGGGGGCCAACAAGATGCAGCTGGGGGTTCATCTGGGTCTATCTCACAGCCGCACATGCCTGTTGGAGAAAGAAGGAGGGGGTTCAAACAATCTCATCTGAGTTTTGGTCGGAGTAGGTCCAGCCAGGAGCAGACGGGTACCGGAGTAGGGTCCGGTGACAGCAGTGCACCCCGTATGAGGGGCCCCCGAGATGTTCCTGTGATCCACATCGAGGGAGATCAGAGGGATGAAGAGACTCGTTCAAACCCAGAAAGGACTGGAAGAGGACCTCAACATACGGCCCCAGAAGCATCGGTCACCAAACGTACAGAGAGAGCTCCAGCCAACAGCAGCAGGTAGGCCACTGCTAACTTTTTTTTATGACAATCCCCTGAAGCAGAACGTTTTGTACACCCAGCAACAGAACATTCCTACATGTTGACGTGAACAAATTATCTTAAGGAGTAATGATAAGTAGACGGTAAAGATTGTCCAAGAAAATGAGCAATTAGCAAATGCAATCCTACAACTGTCACGGCTATTTTAAGAGCTCTATTTCACAGACATCTATTTGCTGTAAAAAGTGATTTATTTGAGTAGTGTGTGAGCTTTGACAAACCTTTGGCTGGGCCTTGTCTCCCACTGTCAGGGTGATGTACTGTGTTTGCAGAAAGCTTTTAGTAGCTTCGTCTTTTATCCACCGTTGGGCTGATTGACTCACCTTGATCGGTTCTAGCTGCTCTAACACTTGACTAACTCACTAAAACCACTCAATAGATATTTGGATTACATTGACACAACTAAAATAGCAAAGCATTTGGGTGTGACATTAGATTAAAGCTTACTTGAAAGACGTTTTTTGGCAGCAAGGTAGCTGGAAAATTGTGTTGATAGGAAGTCGGTTCATTTGTAAAAAGGCTATGTGATTAATAACATATTTGACATGGCCAGTGGCATTGCAAATTCACTCTAATTCTAAAAACTCAGGTGTCTCAGTGGCCTTTCAGAGTGCTTAATGACATTTTGGTGGTGATTCTGAGGGTAATGAAGACTGAATAAGTTAATAATGCATCTCAGTCTGGAGTCAAATGAACCTGCTAGAAATGTATAGGTGGAAAGAGCGGCTAATTTGGGTAGATAGAAGAAAAAAGGTTTTTTCTTATCCACAAATGGGGTCTTTAATTGAGAGAAGAGCTTTAGATCATCAAAACTAAGACTTGTTGAATATTGAACGAGAGGAAAACAGCTGAAAGGCTCAAGGGCCTCAGGAGAGTCACGCTCCTTTTAACTTAACAATAGATCCAGGAACAAGTGGAGTGCATCTGTTTGTCCCTTGTGTAAAAGTGGACCTCAATTACTCAGCCTAGCCAATAAATCCTGATTTCCTCCAGGAATTGTCAAGGATGGCAGCCCTACATCTGCTGATTATGAGCTAATTTAATTCGCTTCTGGAGGGAAATCTAGTGCCGCTTGGGAATGTAGTTTGTTGATGGATTGAAGATATTGAAATGAATTAGCCTTAGGTATACAAATGACAAGCCTTCGGAGCTTGAATTAAGATTACTGAGATGTATTTTATGTTTATTTTTTAGAGACAAATCGATGCCTTAAAATGCATTTTGAGAGAACTCAGTGTTTACACAGTGGCAGCCACACTGGGCAAACAGCCAAAGTAACCACACATTGCAGCAGAAACTGTGCAGAACTATTGGATAGTCAATCCCACCATCTTGCGGTGTGCTCTCCCCAGCAGCGAGAGGGACAGGCCAGCTGTGGCGGGGGCTGCAGTAGTGAAGAGCAACAAGCGTTCAATGAGTGCTAGCAGTGAAGAGAGCACGGGGAGCTGGTCCCATATGACCCCCGAGGATGACCCCCAAGAGGAGACCAGTAGTTTTATCCAGCTGAGCGAGGGGTCAGTAACCGTTGCTCCTGTATACGCTGCTGCTCCCACCCTCACCCCACTCTCATCGGCCCATCGCTAACTGACACCTGTGCTCTCCTGCGCCAATCTACCCCCCCCCGCTGCTGCAATATCCACGCCTGCTGAGGCGGTGTATGGCAGAGAGCTCTCTCCACGAAGCCCTCTCCATAGTTGGCATACTGTTCGGGGCTAGACCCTGCCTCCACCCCACGCACAACCTCCTGCAGCGGTGCAGGGCTGTGACCTCTCACATCCAACACCTCTAGTTCAGAACATTTGCTACACCATCTTCTGCTTCATCTAATTCTCATTCGTGTTAGCTACACCAACATTTTCTACTTTCAGTCACTGCTCTGCGCTTGCTTGTTGACATAAGCTAGGTCTTTTTTTTATTGAGCTTGCATTTCAGATAGGAAGGGCAGCCCAATCTGAATCTTTAGCCGAATCATGTTTTCTGTTTGTGGGATGGCATGCACTCCAATTGTATATGCAGGTTCAAGGTTAGTTTATTTGTATAGCACATTTTAAGACACATAGGAAATTCAAAGTGCTTCACATAGGCATTCAACACATAATAATTAAAAACAACACATAATCAAAGACAAACCAAAAAGAAGACATTTCATAAAAGCGATAATATACTGGCTGCAACTAAAAGTGCCCTTTAAACAACCCAAATGATATGGTAAGCATCGTTTACTGCATGTTAAAATCTATTTATATCTAAAGACGTGAAGCTATAGAGAAAAGGGAAGTGTGGCAATGATATAACTTTCTTGCTTTGTGATTTTATGAACTGCTGTAGTAGCTGTCTGCACCACCATTACCCTCGCTGCTCTCTGCAACCTCTCCATGTACCTGCTTACTTTAAATCACCTCATCCCCAGATCCATGTTGTGACCTAAACTGCCACCCCTAATCTCCTCATTTTCATATTCAGACAGGCTTGCTGTTGGACTAAAATCCCACAGCCCTCCCACCTCGAGCGTCCAATCCCTCTTGCAGCTTTTTCGTTGTCAATGTAAATCACCAGCTAATAACTAACATGACCTGCATCGCTGCCCCTGGTTTTTGTTCTCTTCACAAGCCAGTGATCATGTCGGATGCTTTAGATGCTAAACACACTCTCTGTTATATTTTTTTGATTGGTGAACAGGAACGGAACCAGCAGTGCGTCCAGCCTGGGCCTCGCAGACCTGGACGCTTTCTCCGACGGGCCCACGCAAAGCACAGTGATCAGGTAACTGCCACATGTCGAAAGGAGAAATATTTCTCATTAACATGTCTCTCTGATACCCATAATGACATTTTCTTTCTAATAAGACAGGAAATATGTGGAAAGTGTATTGCTTTTTCTCATTTTCTAACCTGGAGCAAAGCAGACCGGTGTCATGTGACTGTGACAGGCCGCTGGACTATCACTCATGCATAGAGTTTCTTCATTCTGCTATATTTCCTCCATCTATATTTCAATTTCAACATTTACATTAACATGGACATATACTTTCCCTACATTAAAGGTGGGGTAGGTAAGTTTGAGGTCCGGCTCGAGATACACTTTTTGTTATATTCCATAGAATGCTCTTAACATCCCGATAGCAATGAATATCTTCATCAGTCATCTGTGGAAGCCGTGGTACTGTTATCTCGTGCCCTCATTGGTCATGTGCGCGTTCGTGTGTGTTGGAGGAGGGGCTCTGGAAGGAAGTGGCAGATTTTTTCCGGCTGTGTATTTTCAAATTCTAGTGCACTCGAGCCGGTTTCTCAAATTAACATTTTAGGAGACTTGCTTATTTGCTCTTTTGTTGTGAATTTGGTGGAATATAACTGTCTTTAAAACCACAGTTCACAGTTTTTACATTTCCTTTTTGGAATTTATTTATTAATTAATTATTATATTGTTTTGCTCAATTTAAAAATAGACAAATACTGTATAACAGATAACCAATGATAAACAGTGGAAGAGGCAGAAAACGCACTTGTTTTTTTTGGAGCCTTGCCCTAAATATTGTTAAAATTCACAATTTTACAAAATAACACAAGATCAATACAAATATCAGTATGGATTGAACTAACAATATATGATCTTTAGAGGTGCTGGTAGGCAGATTATGTTACCTTTGGACACAGACAGGCTAGCTTTTCCCCTTGTTTCCAGTATGTATGCTAAGCTAACCAGCTATGGTTCTAGTTTCTTTGTTGACCGTAGAGATATAAGAGCGGTGTCAATTTCTTTGTGTAACACTTTTTCAACAAAGTGATTAAGCTTCCAAGATATTGAACTAATCCTAAACTGTATGCTACTGCAACTTTTAATTGGTATTTTTCCCTCATAGTGGGGAGACAGTGAAAGGACATCTGTCAGGAACAAAGGAAAACATCTTTGGTAAGTATATATTTCGAAAATGATCTCTCAATGGCATCAACCTCCTATTTATTCACCTCCTTTTAAAGCGTTAGCCGCTCTGCTAACCAGAAGCTGTTGAGTGACTGGAGGAACCGTGCAGTTTGTGCTTGATTAGGCGATTCTCTGAATTGAAGATGTCCATTAAACATTGAAAAGGGCCCATAGCTCCTGAAGTGTCTCAACATAGAGTTCATCTCTTTTTTATGTCTAACAATCCAACAAAGATTAACTGGAAGGAGAACTGAGCCCTGGATATTTCTCTTTGATGAAGCTGAACATGCTGTTTGATTGCATGCAAAGGTTAGCATGTTAGCATTAATGTCCAAGCAGGTATAGAAGAAAATGACATGCATTATTTATGGTGCTTTGATGGTGAAGACTGATTGCAAGGTTTGTTACAGTATATAGGGATGCTCTCTTACTACAGCGTTATGTATGGCTTTCTACAACACAGGGTTGCACAAACAAATACAGTTTTAGTCCTCACAGACCAAAACCAAAACAGAAGTTCATTCCTGTCACTTTTGAATGTTTCAGAGAGCAGTTCAGCGAGGGCATTGGGCGACAGGTTGCTGCTGGTGGTGAACTGCGACCTGGATCCAGAGAGCGTGGACTCGGAGCTCCGAGTGGCTCTGCAGTGGATCGCTGCCTCCGAGCTGGGCCTGCCTGCGCTCTACTTCAGGAAGTCCAAAGAGAAGAGGGTTGCCAAGGTAAGCTAAGTGTCAAGTCTAAAATGTTGGGAAAAACGGTCATGGTATACTATGTTTTATTACATTAATGCTATAGTATTAGGATATGTCATGAAAAATAGTCTTAGTTTAATATTATTGAAAATATCAAGAAAAAAGTCATGTCAAAAATGTAATGAAGAAAATATCATATATTATGTTACAAATATTTTGAATATGGTAGTATAGAATAAAAAAATAAAAATAAATGAAACTATGTAGTATGTTGAAAAAGTAATAGAATAATATGTTTAATATAATATTAATAATATATAATATGTTGAGTCATTGTTGAAAAATGTGAAAAAAACATATTGTAGTTTTTAAGTTTTTCTTTACATTTTTTTATTTTATTAATAATAGTTTGACATATTATAACATTACATTTTATAACATGCTTTATGAGAATGTTTTCAGTATTTTTCAATGACTTTTTTTTACAACATACTATATTATGATATAATATATACCCTTTTATATGTGCTGAAGATGATGACCGTGTATTTATAGTGTTCATAATGTGTGTCTTCTCTCAGTTCCAGAGGGTGGTCCACCTGATGTCTCAGAAGTCGTGGAGGGTTGCAGACCTCTTCAGCGCCGTGGTCCAGTTCTGTAAGCTTCATGAGAAAAAGGAAGAGGAGGGGCACGCTCTGTCCAGCCTCTTTGATTGGCTGTTGGAGACCCTGTAGCTCCTCATTCAGCTAACAGAAAGACACTCATTCGCCGAAACATGTTCTTGACTCTAACTGCAAGCTGAAGGCACAACGCGATCAGCATACTTGAGAAATTCATACACCTAAGTCTTGGTGTTTTTCGTCTATTCGCAGTCATAAATGGACCAGTTTCCCTTTAATAAAAGCATGTTTTTGTTTTTCAGATTCACACACAATCACAAACTGTAAGTGTAAGGGTTAAACATTCCTGATGGGAACGAACAACCTTCAAGAGATTATAGTCAGCAGGTTTTAACTGCTCCAGATTATACATATATATACACACAGTATACATATATATATATTTACAGATTCTCACAACCAAACTATGTATTTATTTATTCCATATGAACACAGAGAATATCAATAGATGAAAGAAAAATCAGGTTAAAATCTCCCCGCATTTCAAAATTTTTGTATCACAAATACTTTGTAAAAGAGGCTGGAGAAAAGTAAGCCCAGAAAAAGCGTTAAAGTTTATTTGTAAACCACCTAGAATTGCACATCTTTTTTAAAGTAAGCAAAATGCCCATATCTTTGTTGTGTTCATAAGCTGACGTTACACATCTGTTGTGAACTTCAGTTCTTGGTAAGTCTGTTATCATGTTGAGAACTGATTACTTTGGATAGCTGTCCTGTATATACTGTAGATTTTTGGAACTGCTGCACCTTGGAGGAGTGGACTGCTCTCTTCAGCTTTTACTAAGTCATGAAGACAGAGTAAGGTTTGTAATGTTGAATTTGTATGTGCATTTGGTCTGTTTGTCTCTCTACTTAGTGGTACTCTAGTGTTACATCAGCATTGGGTAAAAATAAAGCACACAATTCAGCTGTTAACTCTGTCACGGTAGAACTGAATGTATTTATCTTTTGGCATCAATAAATTATTGTGATGTGAAATACAAGCTGTCGTGATCCTTTTGTAACATTTAGCAAAAAGGGAACCAAACACTGTTTAGTCACACATAATATAACTGTGTGGTCTTCCTAAAGGTATTGAAGCTACTGAATAAATAGTCATTACTGCACAGTGCTATCAGAAATTAATTCTTAGTACTGCTCATGTCTGTCTGTTAACGAAACTAAAGTCACAAGATGTTTAGCTTAGCCTAGCATGAAAGCTACTGAAGCCTACCTTTGGTCAAAATCAACGTAGCTAATGTGTCTAATGGATAACTGTGTCCCTTAACTATGTAGACCTAAGGAGTTATTAACTGAGTTTTTATTTTTTTCACTTTGGACACCTGGCTAGTTGTGTCCTGCTGCTTAGTCGTTATGCTAAGCTAAGCTAATCGTCTCCTAACTTTTTCAAAGCACATTTTCCAAATGTGAAACTAGTTAACCTTAGTTTAGGACTTTTAACTATTTATTCTACTATATTTTAAGACATGTTATGAAGGTAAAAGTTAAACTGTGGAGTAAATAGTCAGGAAACAAGTGAAGCTGCTTATAGTCTTTATGCTAATTGTCTCCCAGCCTTTTAAACCATATTTTCCAAATTTGACACTAGTTGACCTTAGTTTATACTACTATATAAATGTATGAGCAACGTAATTAAACGGTTAGGCTCATACAGTCAGGAAACAAGTGCAGATTTAAACAGATTGCATAACAGGAGGAACATCCAACCCAGTCTTACGGCATTTCGTGTTATAGTCACGAAATTAATTTAATCTATTGATTCGTGTTCACCAACACGATTTTTGCATTTTTTTTCGTGTCACACAGAACGATTTTAAAAGCAATGTATTTCTATAGTATGTTTCGTGCCTGCACCACGTCTTTTTGTCCGGTCGGGTCTTGGAAGACCGGAAGCTGTGTGGTTCATAAAAACATTTTCTTACTCAATATCTTACCCTAAGCCTAACCCTTTTATTTTAAATTGTATAATGTCGGAGTTTTTTTGCCGTCCGCGAGGAAAATAAATGGCTCAGAGCCTCAGAATACTGGAAAAAAAATGTCCCTTCTAATTTGTTATTATTTGGTGCAGGCACGAAACATACTACCAATAGAAATGCATTGCTTCTAAAATCGTTCTGTGTCAGAATACTAAAATCTGTATTTTTTACAACTCTTTTTCCTTCAAATTTGTTATTATTTACATTGCTTTTAAAATCGTGTTGTGTGACACGAATCAATAGATGTATTTCGTGACTATAACACGAAATACCGTGAGACTGTTGGAACATCAGAGGGACAAATTACTTCCATTAAATCACTCAAGCAACAGCGATTTGTAATCCCACTTTACACAGATGCTGGAAAACAGACTTTTATCTTAACATGTATTTTGAATTACAAAGTTTTACAGTGGAGGGCTGTATCCTTGTAAAGCATCAGTACCAGATCCTGCATGTGTTGTCCTTGCTGCCTGCAGGAGAGCACAAACAACAACAGATTGGTACACAGAAGGAAACAGCTGCACGGTTTGGATCTCAAATGTGCAATTAAGGATTTGGGATGTCTGGCGATGAGCTGTTGATGTGCTGCCCAATGTTAATGACACACTGTCACATTTAATTACGTGTCACATATGGTTTCTTCTTTTTATTTTTAATGACACATTGACGTCAAGCATTTTAACAAATTAACATGATAGTATAATGGGCAATAAAAAGAAAATAATATAAATTAAAATAGGGAAATTAAATTAAAATGTCAATAAGATCAACAAAATAGATAAACATAAGAAGTCCAGCATATTGACTCACTATTTTTCAGGACATACTATGACTACTACTACTACTACTATTACTACCACTACTACTACTACTACTACTACTACTACTAACTACTACTACTACTACTACTACTACTACTACTACTACTACTACTACTACTACTACTACTACTACCCTACTACTACTACTACCACTACTACTACTACTACTATTACGTACACTACACTACTACTACTACCTACTTACTACTACTACTACTACTCACTACACACTACTACTACTACTACTACTTACTACTACTACTACTACTACTACACTACTACTACGACGACTACTACTACGACGACTACGACCACTAACGACTACGACTGAGTACTACCACTACTACTACTACTACTACTACTACTACTACTACTACTACTACTACTACTACTACTACTACCACTACTACTACTACTACTACTACTACCACTACTATTATTACTACCACTACTACTACTACACTACTACTATTACTACCACTACTACTACTACTACCACTACTTTTATACAAATATTTTATGACATTAAAACATTTTTTAAGACATACCATACTGAGCACTTCATGCACTGCTCAGGGCTACACGTTGTAAGATGTGGTGTGTGTGCGTGTGTGTGTGTGTGTGTGTGTGTGTGTGTGTGTGTGTGTGTGTGTGTGTGTGTGTGTGTGTGTGTGTGTGTGTGTGTGTGTGTGTGTGTGTGTGTGTGTGTGTGTGTGTGTGTGTGTGTGTGTGTGTGTGTACCTGTAATGATAGTGTCGCCCTCGTAGTTGAAGACACAGGAGAAGATCTCGTCCGTGTGGCCCTCCAGGACCTGCAGGCAGACACCAGACCGAGCGTCCCACAGACGAGCCGTCCTGTCAGAGCTGGCCGTCAGGACCCTGCTGCCGGGGGGGCTGAAACAGATCTACACACAGCGGCAGGAGAGTCAGTCTCACCCAGAAGTGTGTGTGTGTGTGTGTGTGTGTGTGTGTGTGTGTGTGTGTGTGTGTGTGTGTGTGTGTTACATAAGTGATGAGTGAGTGCTGAATAAGAAATAATGCCAGAAGTGGTGGAAATGAGTGAGTTTGTAACACTTTTACCACATCAGCAACACTATTCCACAGAGGTCTTTCAACTTGAAATACTTAAGGAGGATCAAAGCACAAGTGGCATTATGAAAATCACGGCTGAGGCTGATTGCGTTGGAGCTCTGGTTTATCGTTCCCTGAATGGTTTTCTATCCCCGTAGTGAGGTGAAGAAGGAGATGATTAAATGAAGCTGGCTCTAGATGGCCATGAAAGTAGAGTATGTTTTTATTAAAACTATAAACGGGGAACAAAGGAGCGACCCCGGACAGGAAATGGAAGCTGACAAAGATAGATCGGAGAAAGAAGATGACAAGAACAGAAATGGAAAGAAAAGCAAGAGAAAACACATCAAGAAAGAGAAAATTACAGGAAAGAGTTATAAATAAACAAGACTGAGGTTGTGTCCCAATTCCATACTACATCACTACCTCATTTCCTAAATAGTGGGTAAACAGAACAACAAATTACTACATTATTTAAAGTTGTCAGCCTACATACTAAAATAGCTTGTTTTTAGATTTGCTGTTGATGGATGATATGTAACCTGATGTTTTCTTTGGTACTGCTCCTCAAGTAGACATGATTATGTTCAAAACTGTTGATTTCCCCTGTTTTTGGTTTTGGTTTTAGGGGCCTACACACCAAACTGACACCAAAGAACACGTCCCGACGGACCCCCGACTGTTGTGTCGCCTCACCTCTCTGTGTCTTGGCTAACAGTCGCACTGGAACACACCGCAAAGACTTCAGCCGACGGTCAAGTAGCACGTACGAACTGCGCATGCGTGAGTGGCAATAACTCTCCTTACCAGCAGGCGGCGGTAGTGTGTATTCGTTGTTCAAAAGAGGCAACAACCGGAAGAAAGACTGCGTGATAACCGAGAGAAGAAGAACAGACTGCGTGATATAAACAAACAACGAATAGCGTGTGTTCCATTTTCACTCTACAGCGAGAAGCTCACGGGGCTTTCCCGAACCTGAGTCGAGAGCTGGAGTTAAATGAAATCTCACATTTGAGATCTTAATAGTTTGTTTCGGTCCCTCACTTCCGTTTCGCTTCTCATGCACTGATTCGCTAACTGAACAGCCAATCAGTGATTTCTTTGGCCGACGGCCTTTAGCCGACAGTGGCGGCGGAAGCTGTCAGCACGGCTGAAAAGACACGACTGCGCGGGACACACCAATCTGAGTAGGGCGGCAGGACGCTCATCGACGGCCAGACATCTATCGACGGCCGAAATCGGCTTGGTGTGTAAGGACCTTTAGGACCTTTGACAGAGGGTGAAAGAGGTGCTGCAGCACAGGCAGTATGAGAAAAATAAAGAGCTTTTTGAACATTAAAGCTTGGAGACATGTCCCAGTCGAGGCAGAAAACACAATTATGAACCTGAAAATTAGCAGAATACGTCCTCTTAAGACTCATGTAAATGTGGCATCTGGATTATGAATATGTGTTGCAAACTTGTCATTATGGTTTGATTAAGAATGGAGCTAATGGAGTGTTTAAGATGGGAAGGAACAAAACATTTGAAAACTAAATGTACTGTGAATTCCTGTCATAATATGATTTATACAGTAGAATATGCATATAATCATATAGCATATAATCATGCATTAAGGACGTACGAATCAGCCTTTTCATCAACAGTCCATCATTTATTTTCCCAGAATAAAATGAAAAATGGCAGTAAGGTGACGGAGCCAATTCCAGTGAAACTAAAAGCATTCAGAGGAGTAGGAGAGACCAACCAAATAACAAAACATGGTCGTGGATAAGAGGCAGAGAGGGGAGGGGAATAGGTGTCCCGTTAGGCAGAGATTAGTGTCATAATCCTCGGGAATGGATTTAACTTCTGTTAGACAGCTATAGCCTATGCCATACATTTTTGCATACATTCACAGTAAATATGTATTCAGTATGATAGCTGTCTAACAGAAGTGAAATCCATTTCTCACTTATTCTGACAATGTACTTAACCCCTAATAAAAGAACCCAATAAAAAGTGTTGTTAATTAATAGTGAAGTCACGTTGTAATAACAATAACTCATCTCTCTCGAGTTTTCTTTTTGTGCTTTGCCAAAAGCCACTGTGTCAAGTGTCCTACTTGGGTTGCCGTACGGAGTTGTCCAATATGGCGGACCATCTCGCACATGCGCACTGCAGATAGGGCAGGGCGGCAGATCGGGTAGTGACAGAGCTACCTAGAAATCATCTAGTTTTGAAGCTAGATATTCTGTTATATCAGCAGCACTATTTGTCCTACGTGCAGATGTTTCCCATGTGACACAGTAATACACACAAAACAGCCTGAAGCCTGAACTCCTGTCCCTCTCCTTCAGCATCAGGCTGGATCGCATGTAAGCGAGGCAAACAGAGGCATGTTTCTATTTACATCACTAGACAGTAAGAGTTAATGTTACACAGAAATCACACGCTCATTCACACCTGCTACTGACCGATGCATCCACACCATACTTAACAACCCTCCCGATTTCATTGCCCTCTCCCGGTTTCCTCCCGGGGTCATATTTCTCCCGCATTTCAGACAATATCAGATTTACTCAGGACTGTTTCTACTCGGACTTTAATACAGCTACACCATTGTTTGGTTTCCATGGCAGCGCGTCTCTTTAGTAGCACGTGCAACTGAAAGTCTGAGAGGGTGAGGGAGATAGTCCCATAAAACAACAAGAATCGACAACGCTACCCTCTGCTCACTCCTTTCCTGCCCACAAATATGCTCCATCAAGGATGGTGCTACAGGCCGCAAGGCATTGCACTTACAACTACATCATGTTAATGTTAATCCAACATCTCCGGCATCTCTTTTCACCCTCTATCTGAAACAGGAGCCCAGTCTGCTCTGATTGGTTAGCTGGCCGGCTCTGTTGTGATTGGTCAACCGTTTATAGATGTCCTGCCCCTTAGCCTATCATTTACAGGGATGGGATGTTAGCCTTTGCAGAACATTTACATGCACAAAAACCCACTACAGGAGAACAAGGAAAAAGTTAAAGGAAAAAAAACTAATTTCTAAACTACATTGTGGCACCAAGGCTACTGAAACAAATGATTAATGTTTGGTGACATTAAAACACTTTTCACAGGCAGTAGCAGAGAAGCCATTATGGGACTCACCTTTGAGATCTCTCCATCGTGGCCTTCCAGGGTCACGAGACACTGATGTGTGTTTACACTGAACACTCGGGCAGTACCTGAAAGACAGGCAGGGGTAAGGTTGTTGTCTCTAAACAATCATTATTTTACTTCACATGTATGAACATATCAAAAGTAACAAACATGGAGGATGTGTTGAACTGGAAAATTGCAATTAGCATGTGATCAAAACAACACAAAACTCCTGGAGAGATTTATAATAAATTTAACCGTTAAATAAATAAAAATAATAATGTGAGTCTCACCATCAGCAGAGGCAGTCGCAACGAGCTGACCGCTTAAATCAAAACACACATCCAGCACCTCCTCTTTGTGTCCAGTGAGCGTGGCCACACACTCCCCACTGACTGCCTCCCACAACTGCAAAGACACACACCCTCAGTGACATCAGTTTACATTTTAAAACGGGCAGGAAGCACCATCTAACACAGACAGACAGACAGACAGACAGACAGACAGACAGACAGACAGACAGACAGACAGACAGACACACAGACAGACAGAGAGACGGACGGACAGACAGACAGACAGACAGACAGACAGACAGACACACAGACAGACACACACACACACACAGACAGACAGACAGACACACACACACACACAGACAGACACAGACACACAGACAGACAGACAGGCAGGCAGGCAGACACACAGACAGACACACAGACAGACAGACACACAGACAGACAGACACACAGGCAGACACACAGACAGACACACAGACACACACACTTGAACAAACTGTCTCATAAAATGCATGCATGCAGCTGTTTGATGTATAGTAAGTGTTTTTTCTCAAAGCATCCCCCTGGAGGAATGCAGTGAAGCGGATAATGTGTCAGAGCTTGACTCATCCTGGCATGATTTAGACATTAGAATTGAATGTTTCTCCTTTAAATTATGGAGACCTCAAAGACAGGAGGTAGGAAGAGACGGAGAGTTGGAACTGGATGAGGGTGAATATGACATCGCACATACCTTGTAATGCAATAGCGTAAAATGTTAAATGATCGACAAACTATGCTTATATAATCCCAGTTTTTAAGATACTTTTGGCAAGTATAATAGTATTTGGAAGAGCTCAATGATAGATCACCTTGCAGCTTTTGTCCATGGAGCCTGTGACTATGAGGGAGCAGTCCCAGTTAAAGTGAACATTGCTGATCTCCCCACTGTGACCAATCAGAGTGTGGACACGTCTGAAAATAAAACACAAAACGCAGCAATAAGATGATTGAACACTCATGTGTGCAGAATCCATAGCATGCATGTACAGAACAGTATACATTATGAAACACTGACAGAAATTGATGCCGGAATGAGTCCTAAAACCCAGCATTTTACCACTTCCTGTTCCCTTGTCTCAAAGTGTTTTTGGTTGGCGCCTGTGGGTAACACAAGCTTAAGAGTTGTTTTTAATTGTGTGCTAGTAAAAACCACTCTGGTGAAGGTCTGAAGCTTCTATGTGTCGTAAAAACAGCAGTTGCTACAAGTGCCTACATGAGACTACTGAACGCCATCACGCCAAACATCAGCCGTCTTAAAGGTGGGGTAGGTAAGTTTGAGAAACCGGCTCGAGATACACTTGTTGTTATATTCCATGGAATGCTCTTAACATTCCGATAGCAATGAATATTTGAAGTGCTTTGACAACAAATCCATAAAATCATCATCTGTGGAAGCCGTGGTACTGTAAAAAGCACGACCAATCATCTGAGCCGGCCCGGCTAAAATAACTGGATGGCCTACCTGCCTGTCAGCCTTCCATCTGTGCACAAACTTATCTCGTGCCCTCATTGGTCATGTGCGCGTTCGTGTGTGTTGGAGGAGGGGCTCTGTCAGGAAGTGGCAGATTTTTTCCGGCGGTGTATTTTCAAATTTTAGCGCACTCGAGCTGGTTTCTCCAAAATTACCTACCCCACCTTTAAGGCCCTGTCGCACTGTCCCGAAATTGACACCCGATGGACATACGAATATGAAATTGTGTATTTCGCACGAAGATGGCCCCGAACCACACACGAAGGCAACATTTACATTACATTTAAGACATACAACTGCAATGAAAGTACCAAAAACAATTATGTTACAGTACTATGATACTGTACTGATATCTTCAGACTTTGTTCTGTACTTTATCCGTCGTTATATGTAGAAAATATTACGTTTTCTCCGTAATGTTGTTTCCATAACAACAACAACTTCCTGTCAACTGTCCTTCAAAATAATATATTATATCCTTTTTAGTTTCACAGAACACAAATTGGGTTATTTACATAATATATTTACATGATTTTGTTGTGCAATAAAACAACCCGATGGACACACGATAAAGGAAATGTTCAAATTCGGCTGTGATCGTAGCAACATCGGGCCATTCGTGAGGGCATCTTAAGCCTTCGTATGACCGCCGGTGGAGTTTTTCAGGCTCCGGCAGCAACTTCGTGAGCGGTGGCAAAATCTTTGGCATGCCAAAAAATTGCCGAAGGACCTTGCGAAGGTTCATTTTCGTGTTGAATTTGTGTGTCAATTTTGCCCTTCGTAAGGCCATCGTGAGGGCATCTTGTTATCATCGGTGCCATCGGGCATTCGCCCCGATCAGAGTGAGGGCGAATGCACCGATGATAACACGAAGATGACACGATTTGACAAGATGCCCTCACGATGCATTACGAAGTTGCCGCTCACGAAGTTGCTGCCGGAGCCTGAGAAACTCCACCGGCGGTCATACGATGGCTTAGATGCCCTCACGAATGGCCCGATGTTGCTACGATCACAGCCGAATTTGAACATTTCCTTTATCGTGTGTCCATCGGGTGTCAATTTCGGGACAGTGTGACAGGGCCTTTAAGCTTAGCGGTGAAGTCAAGTGACTGTCGTGTAGTTTGTTTAAAGCGTAAAGTTAGCTTTTTACTTCTGGCTATTGCATTTACGCTTCAAAACCCCTAAAAGTGGCGTTCACATGTGGAGATTAACCTGCAAACAAAACGTGGAAGTGTTATAAACATGTGTTTGCCAACATGTGTTTGCCACAGAGCTTTTTTGCTGCAATAATCCCAAATCAGTTTTATCTAAGGAGCCCTTTAGGATGCTAACATGTGGGTCTGCCTATTAAAACATGTCACCACTGCAACACTCTATAACAATGATGATGTCTGACCTTCCTGAGGCAACATCCCATATTGAAACGGTGTGGTCAAAGGATCCGGTGACCAGCTGATTTCCCACTGTGTTGAAGCACAGAGAGAGGACCTCTGCAGTGTGACCCTGTGAGAAATAAACAGAGAGCATTATCCATCACTGTGTCATTCCTCTTCTCTTATAAACTCCCTCTCTTCCTCTGCCGATGAAAACGCACATCAAACACTATATTACTTATTAAAATAAACATACAGCCTGCTGTCAGCGTGATTGATTCGTTGTGCTGTGAACAGAGCTGAGACAGAGGCAGCCAATCAAGTTCGGCCTGCACTTCAAAGAGCGCTCACTGCTCCCCCCAGAATGGGTGTTCAGTGACCTTATTAAAGACTTGCAGTTACCGTATAATGGCCGTGTATGTAGGGGCTTACCATCAGCAGGGGTGACAAGACTCAATTTAGGGATAATTACTTTTAGAAGTGGATGAAAAGTTAAGCAGTGTGTATTTAATGGATGGATGGATACCAGGATCAAAGAGAATATTACGCACGGTCAGCGTGGCCACCTCATCCCCCGTCTCCACGTCCCACAGCTTGGCAGAAGCGTCCATGCTGCCCGTGGCCACCAGCGTGCTCTGGGGGTTAAAGGCCAGGCACACCTACACACAGGGAGGGAGAGCACATTTACTAAAGTATGGTATATTTTTTTTCACATATTTGTACTTAACTTGAGTATTTGCTTTTTTATTTTATTTGCATTTTAAAGGTGGGGGAGGTAATTTTGGAGAAACCAGCTCGAGTGCGCTAGAATTTGAAAATACACAGCCGGAACAAATCTGCCACTTCCTTCCAGAGCCCCTCCTCCAACACACACGAACGCGCACATGACCAATGAGGGCACGAGATAAGTTTGTGCACAGATGGAAAGCTGACAGGCAGGTAGGCCATCCAGTTATTTTAGCCGGCTCAGATGATTGGTCGTGCTTTTTACAGCGCCACGGCTTCCAGCATTTAAGATATTCATTGCTATCGGGATGTTAAGAGCATTCCATGGAATATAACAACAAGTGTATCTCGAGCCGGTTTCTCAAACGTACCTACCCCACCTTTAAGAACATATACAAAAGGGATGCATATAAAATAAACACATCTAGATATATAGATTAACTACATAACAGATGACAAATCCGAAAAGAAATAATAAAATAATAATAATAATATTACAAATAAAAGAGTATTTCCATCTAATGCTTCATTATACTTGTACTCCGCTACATTTCAGAGACAAATACTGTACTTCTTACGCCACTACATTTATTTTGCACTCACAGTTAGTAGTAACTTGTTATATATAAAAGCACATGATAGGCTGATATGGTGTAATGAAGTCCTGTACTACTAATCAAGTATCTAACTTGAGTCCACACCGACAATGCTAAAATGCTGGATTATATAATAACCATAATACTGTGAAAAGATCCATTTCTGTATAACGAGTACTTTTACTTTTGATACTTGAAGTACATTTAGCTGATAGTATTTATGTACTTTATATTATTCAGAAATTGGCCATTGTGCAGAATAAGTACTTTTTGTACTTTAAGTATTGAGGCGATTACTTTTGTACTTTTACTTATGTAAGATCTTGAAATCAGGACATTTTACTTGTAATGTTTAAGACCATAGTATTTGTACTTTTACTTAAATAAACGATTTGAGTACTTCTTCCAAAACTGCCTGAACAATATAAAACGACTTACTTCATAAGTGCTGCATTGGATTACAAATAAACAATAAACTATGCAATATAAAATCCCTACCAAGGGGACTTGCAGAATACAAATAAACACTCACTAAATGCAGTCGCCGATAGCAAATGCGTTGCCTTTAACATTTAAAACAAACAGCATTTAATCATTTTCATTTAAACAGATTGTTATACATACTATTTCTGCAGTGTGTCCGCGAAAGGTGTGAAAACATTTGCCCGTCTCAGCACACCACAGCTTGGCCGTCTTATCAAAAGAGCCGGTGGCAATCTTGTCTCTAAGTCAGAGAACGATATATATAAATAGTCAGAGCACATTTCCTCAGATGCTTCGACAGTTTCACTGACACTCTTCCTTACCCGTAGGGGTTGTTAAATGCGATGGCATACACCACGTTTCTGTGCCCCTCTAACGCGTGCAGCTCTGAGCCCGAGGCCGTGTCCCAAACTCTGCACGTCCTGTCATAGCTCCCAGTGATGAACCTGCAGAGAGGAGTAAACACTCAAATCACAACACAGAGCCTCTTTGAACTCCTTGAAGAGCTCTGTGTGGTGCAGATAAACCCACCTTGACCCTGATTTGTCGAAGGCAACGTTTGTCAGAGGCAGGATGTGTGCCTTCAGCTCCTACAACAGAAGACCAGAGAAAAGATTAGGAAAATAAAAAAGGTACAATTTATTGCTATTTGATTTATTTATTTAAGAAGGGACAATGCACATAAATCTACATGAGGGGAATGTCATCAGCAGTCCCTGTCAGGCTGAAGGCATTGCAACATACACGTACAACTGAAGCACGATTGCAGCACATTTTAAAGACCATATGCCCAATTAAAAATTATAAAATGATGAATTTAGTACCCACAACTTATTCATCTGATCTGACTTTGATGTAATTGGGAGACCATTTTTCTTCCGGTGTAAAGAACTTTCTCTCCTTACAGTCAGTGTTGGGTGTAAAGCGTTACAAAAGTAACAGAGTTACAGTAATGTATTACATTACTTCGTTACAGCAAAAAGTAACGCATTACTAATGAAATTTGGGTAATATACTACCCGTTACAATTCTCAGTAACGCAGTTACAACTCATTTTAACCCGAAATTAAATGGTGTTTTGTTTTTTAAGAATTCACCAACATCGCGAGACATTCCGACACCAGAGAAACATTGTGGGTAGATTAGTAAGCCTGGTGTTTACCCTTCAGGCTCATCAAGATCCCTCCGCTTTGCGTCGGGTTCCCTGATCAGCCTGTCGGGTGTTCTTTTCCCCATAATGACGCCTCGCTGCACATTATCCCGCTTATTACACGGCCATATATAAACTACAGAGCCTATTCCGTGTTCCTGTTAGTGTTTACTTCCTGTCTGCCTTCTTCTGGTGATTTATCTGAAGTCCAGCGCTCCATCTTTTAAAGGTCCCATGTCATGGCCATTTCTACTGATCATAATTCCATTGATGTTGAGGTCTACTAAAATAAATGTATATTGTGTAATTTACCAAACTCACATTGGTCTCTCATACAGCATCTCTGTATAGTACGTGTATTCACTCTCTGTCCTAAACGGCTTGTTGGAGCTCCTGCCCCCCCCCCCTCCCTGTGAGCCCAGTGGCCGTCTGCGAGACAGCGAGACACAGCCCGAAACACACACACACCCGCAGCCTGGCTGGGAGTTTGTGTGTGTGCCCAGGCTGAGTTCTGCGGTGTCTCGCTGTCTCGCAGACCCCTCACCAGTGAGCCAGCTCACAGTGTCCCGTTCCTCGCAGCAGCGAGCCTCGCAACGTCCCGCCGAGTGTGTGTGTGTGAGGAAGTCTGTGGATTGGTCCAAACGTAACGGCTCCGCGGACGTAACATATATGTTACGTCACTATACCCAAATACGTCACTATACCCAAATACGTCACTATACCCAAATACGTCACTATACCCAAATACGTCACTATACCCAAGAAGTAAACAATGGAAAAAGATAAATCTCCAACGAGGCGTTCTGGGGCAGCACAGACAGGTCTTCTCTGTGTTAGAGTTTTACTCGCTACAGGGTGCACTTTGAGGGTTTGTGACTCTGCAGACGGTTTACATGCAGAAAAAGCTAAATAACACAAGGGGACGGGTAATAACCAGAAAAGCATGACATGGGACCTTTAACCTATTTTCCTTTCTCTTTCTTGATCCTCCTTAGCAACCTTCATTATAGTCCTTGACAGTGGTCTGTACTGGATTAACAACGTGTCACATGTTAAGAATTGACCAATCAGAATCGAGTATTCAACTAAGCCGTGTAATACAAGTTGTTAGTAGCCTTAATGGCCTACACCAGGGGTACTCAAATACAAATCTTAAAGGTCCAAAATAAATGTTTCAATAAGACAAAGGTCCGTTTATTACGGTCATTCAAACTTTTAAACAATTGCAACAAGATTCTTAACACAAGGTTGCAAAAACAAAAATAATCTGTATGCAGCAGTTTTCATTGTTATTGTGTCTGTGCTTGACCCCTCAGAGTCGCAGTGTGAGAGCTGCACAGTTATGAATAAAGGCAGCTGCACCCTCTTTCATTCAGCATTCCCATTATTGCTTTATAAATGTCTTGCCCCCTTGTGTGTCCACTGAGGTTCGTCAGGCCCAACACATCTTCAACAAACTCCCCCTTTGCCTCATCATAACAACTCACAAACACCAGCAACTGAGCATTGTCAGTGGTGTCAGTGGACTCACCCACAGCTAAGGAAATGCACTGTGCATTTTTTATTCCATCACAAAGCTGATTAATCAAATCACCAGCCAGTATTTATGTTCTGGTTGCTGTGCAATCTGAGAGGGGGATTTGCTTGATTTGACCTGTTATTTCCTCTTTTTGTTTGCCTTCAACATGGTCTCCATCACTTCAGTCATGCATTATTTTATACTGCAGTTATTATCCAGTGGAAAGCCCTTACCTACTGGCCTAGTTCAATCAAAGTGGTTACTTTTTGTTGGCTGGGCAGTGTAGTTTTAAACACCGTCTTATTTGACTTTCTCAGGACTTAAAACAGTTTTTTGGGGGCAGACCCCCTCAAAGAAAAAAATATATTTACACACGTAAGGTCATCATCTTAATAGTTGTGTATGCTCATCCGTGAGCAGAGCATCAAGTTGACATGTCTATTACAGCTGAATGCGGCGATTACCATCTTGTTCAGCAAAACGCCTCACAAACGTATTAAGATCAAAGCTTCAGTGCGTTTTGATTCAATGCTGAGTACAGCCAAACTGACAGTCTCTTCTCTGTCATTGTAGACAGCAAATACCTCATTCCTTCAGCGCTTGGGTCCGAATGCTTCTCGTTTTGCGCCGTCCAGTTCAAAATGAAATCGCCGCCAAATCGTATATCCAGGCTCGCGCCAGGACCGGGGGAGGGGTTACATGACGTGCATCTTGTGCTGCATTCACTTGCACTCGGACATTAGAGACTTTCTCTCATAAATGTCCGATGAGCCACAACTTTTCTTTCAAAACAAAGCTGCCAACTGGGGTGGCAGCTGGGGTGGCAAGGCCTATTTTTAGGGTGTCAGTTGCCACCCCGGTAGGTGAAACTAGGCTACTAGCTACAGTACAGATGGAACTAGATGAGCTGTTAACTCTCGCTCTGAATTTTTTTTGTTTTTGTTTTAATTCTCGCTCTGACTTAGACAGGTTGAAAGAGACACACACATTTTTCCCACCCGCATTCCGCGAAGACCCGCCCTACTGTGCCTCTGATTCGCAGATTGTTTGGGGGAAAAAAACGCTGACTGGATGCTGAATGTGATTGGACCAAAGCGTTGACACACACAGGTGGAACACAGTGGAACAGTCAGACATGCAGAGCGCTGTTTGCAGTGGACATAGCGGAGAATTTTGACTCGTTGCGAATGCGTTGTGGCGATGTCTCACATATAATACAGAGAGATCATACATATGAAAAGTATAATTTGCTCAGAGTCCGGAGACAGTGGTGGTTCGGTCCGGATCCGGACCGGAGTCCGTAGTTTGAGGATGCCTGGCCTACACAGTTGTTATGCTAAACCACATCGCCCTTCACTGGATGTATAATGAGCTGCACTAAACTACATTTTAGCATTTAAAATACTTAGCCATTCTTTTGCGGTTATTTTGGTAAAGTAACTCAAAAGTAATATAAAAGTAGTGTAACTCATTACATTTCAGAGACAGTAATATTGTAATGTAACTTATTACTTAAAAAAGACAGTAATAAGTAATATGTACTGTATTACATTTTGGAAGTAACTTTCCCAACACTGCTTACAGTACAGAAAGGTTTCTCAGCAGTGTTAACTTGTTTCTATGACTTCCAGCCACATTACCAAACTTAACCTTTACAAAATCATGTTTTGTGTATTCCTCAAAAACACGTAGACATTCATGAAGCATCTGTTATCATGATAACAGATTATTGGCATGCCTACTTGGCTTAAAAAAGACTGAACCACTGCTGCTCTCTAGTGCCTCTTTGGAGCACTGGATCATTTTAGTACTCGTACTCAGGACTACTAACTTTCCACAGAAGTCAATTCACAAAGAACAAAAAACAGGACCCTGATAAACAGTGGAAGTAAGATGATGTTGCCAAAAATGTCAATATCCAAAATATTGTCAACTCCCTTAAAATAGAGTAAAACTGCTTCATAGGAAGCAAAATCCACAAGCGTTTCTGTAACTTCTCTTATTCCGATGTAAATTCATGATTCAAAAGACAAATAGCTTTCTACACTTTTATAAAACAAAACATATATAGTACAACATGTCCTGCAATCCTGAATATCGATATACTGTAAGGGAAAACGCTTGAAAGAATGTTGCCTTCACAATTTCACCAGGAGACTATGCTCCAATTCAAACACTGAGTAAGTGCATTGAACAAATCAATGACTGGATGTGTCAGAACTTTCTCCAATTAAACAAAGATAAAACTGAGGTAATGGTTTTTGGAGCGAAGGCAGAACGTATAAAAGTTAGCGCTGAGCTTCAGTTTGCAATGTTCAAAACAACAGATAAAGCCAGAAATCTAGGTGTAGTCATGGACTCTGACCTGAGTTTCAACAGTCACATTAAAACAGTTACTAAATCAGCCTACTATCACCTAAAGAATATATCTAGGATTAAAAGACTAATGTCACAGCAGGATTTGGAAAAACTTGTCCATGCCTTTATCTTCAGTAGACTGGACTACTGCAATGGTGTCTTCACAGGTCTCACTAAAAAATCTATTAGAAAGCTGCAGCTGATTCAGAACGCTGCTGCTCGAGTCCTCACTGACACTAAGAAAGTGGATCACTCCTGTTCTGAAGTCTTTACACTGGCTTCCTGTGTGTCAAAGAATAGATTTCAAAATACTGCTGCTGGTTTATAAAGCACTGAATGGTTTAGGCCCAAAATACATTTCTGACCTCCTGCTAAATTATGAACCATCCAGATCTCTCAGGTCTTCAGGGACTGGTCAGCTTTCTGTCCCCAGAGTCAGAACTAAACATGGAGAAGCAGCGTTCAGTTATTATGCTCCAAGTATCTGGAACAAACTCCCAGACACCTGCAGGTCCGCTGCAACTCTGACTACTTTTAAATCCAGGCTGAAGACTTTTCTTTTTGTCGCTGCTTTTAATTGAACTATTCATATCTTAGACTGCACTGTAACTTTTATCCATGTACTTTTTTTCTTTTAATGTTTCTTTTATTAGCTTTTCTTTTTAATGACTGATTTTAAATGCCATTTTTCTCTTTCATTTTTTGTAAAGCACTTTGAATTGCCTTGTGTTGAAAAGTGCTATATAAATAAACTTGCCTTGCCTTGCCTTGCCTTGCCTTGCCTTGCCTTGCCTTGCCTAAGAGAAGCTTTTTAAATGGATCCAGATGTCATGTCACTGTGTTGATCTATGTATTAATGTCCGGGGTCTGACCTTGAAGAAGCAGAAGCGGTGGTGGTCCTGCTGACCCTGTTTCTGCTGCAGTCTGACGATCAGCTGTTTGACCTGATCCGCCCTGGACTCTGTGACCAGAGGCTCCGACTGTTGGATCTCTGCCAGCAGCTCATCTGGGCTCGTCCTGCATGTGGAAATGATATGTTTACACATGTATACACTTTAGATCATAAGGATCACCTCAAAAGTAAACAGGACAAAAAGTACATTAAAAATAACAATTTCAATATATTTTATATGGTAATACTTTTCCTCATTAAGTAGAATTTCGAATTCAGGTCTTCACTTATGTGTTTTAACACTTTCTTATTGATTTTTTACTGAAGTAAATAATCTGACTACTTCTTCCACCACTGGGAATATCCAACCTAAAACTAACTTCACCGTGGTTAACTAGTTAAAAACCCATCATATAAAGAGCTGAGTTCACTATAGGGAGATATGTCTGACTAGCTTAGTTCAAATGATTTGTGACTGAGGATAAAAACAACCCCCCACAGGAAGTTATTATGGCATCACACACTTAGTAAAGCATTGTGATGTTAGTTGGTTAACTTCATGGATACAACTCACTCACTCTGGAGTCAAATCCAAAAGGTCGATGGATTTGGTCCTCAAACATCCTCCTTTCTCATATTCCAAGATTATACCTGCAAGAAGAGAAATGACTCAACCCAGGAAAGGCCACTCATGCCGTCTGAATAAATACAAAATCAGTAACTTCAGCTAGCATCATTGCTAACACAGCTAGTCAACATAATGTTTTTTAGTGTGCATTGCAGGTTAAAACAAATATTATCTAGCACAGTGGCATGTTGCCTCCATTAAAGGAATGTAAGTTACAGTTACACATTAAATTATTGGTTTTACCTGGAGGATAATATCTGAGAAGGAACCGCTTGAGTTTCATTTTGCTAGTATCGCCTCTTTACCACGGTACTGTACTATCAACAAACCGTTGCTATGGCCACAGACCGCAGCACTCACTACGCATGCGCAGTAGGAACACAGCCGAGCAGTTTCTGAATTTAAATGACAAGTTGTCGAAAACAAACATTCAAGCTATAAAATCAGATATTTCCAATTAAAATTGAAAAAGTACTAAGTAAGAAATAGGCTATACAAAAAATAAAGAGCATTTTGCAAATTGTTCATAACAGTGCAAGCCAAGAGGTTTTTAGGAAACTCGAATCCAAACACACTAACTTTGTTTTGGGTTTTGATACACATTTTTGCACTTAAATGCTATTTGTGCAGCTATTTAGTTAAATACTTTACTCACTTACTTATCATACCTTATTCATAATAAATACCTTCGTGCTGCATAAGGTCAGGGAGTCAACTAATTTCAACGCTTAATTTGCCCACCAATACTTTTCATTTCTCTCTTAAATTATCTCTTGTCTTGTCTGAAATGATCAATGGGAGACTTGTGGCTTGTACTGATTAAGGATTTAAAGTATTAAAAGTAGAAATACTACTAAATACACATCCTGAATTAAAAATGCTACTTTAGTACAGTTCTTGAGTAAATGCACTTAGTTACATTTCACTAGTGGTACTGATAGTGAAACCTGAAGAAAGTCCACTGAATCACTCCCAGCTTCCTTCTGTTTCCCAACAGGTTGAAGTCTACCGCTCATAAACTGTGACTCACACAGATTATACATGTGTATATTCTAGCTACTGACAGCTTGATGAACAGAGGGACAGTACAGATAACAGACTTTATTATGTGCTCAAGTTACGGGAAATCAAAACTTTAAAAACAATCTGAGATTCTGCTGAGGTCAAACCATGGGGAGCTGGGCTAAACTGAAGTCCTCCAGATGGGCTTATCACACTGCAGTCCTGTCGCTTTATGGGTTCTTTGCCTACTGCAGAGTAGCAGAGCCTTTTCTCACACCATACCTGATGGGACCAAACAAGAACATCTCTGGAGAAGTGGTAAGCATGTTAGACGGTGACCCGTACATGAACCACACGTAGAGTCACTGAAGGCATGTCGAGGACTTATTTTATTAGCAGCTCTTATCTTCTCTTCTGCTCTGCCGGCTCTAGACAGGAGGCAAAAACAATATCAGGATTGTTAGTGGTGAAAGACTTATTTAGATCCTTTACTTAAGTAAAAGTAGAAATACTCTGCTCTGAAAATACTTCATTACAAGTGAAAGTCCTGAATTCATAATGTTTCTTATTAAGTAGAAGTATTGCCGGCTAAATGAACTTCAAGTATCAAAATCAAAAAGTACCCATGGCTGTTTTGATAGTATTATAATATTATAGAATAATACATTATTCCTTCCTACTTTTTTAAAATATATTGGTAGTAATGTACTGCATTGTATCACATAGAAATGTCATGTGTGTTTTATGTAAACAGTAGCTGGTAACTATAAGGGTCAAATAACTAGTGGAGTAAAAAGTACAATCACTGTTCAAAATGTTAGGGAAGTGTAAAGTAGCATCAAATGGAAATAGTCAAGTAAAGGATGACAACATAGTACTTAAGTACAGTGATGTCCTGAGTTACTTCCCACCACTGTATCTGATAGGTGACCAACTACCTGTTCCCGATCTGGACCTACTCCAAGCTGGCGTGTCTTTTGCCCGTCTTCCTCCTGACGGACTTCCTGAGGCACAAGCCCCTCGTCGTGGTGCAGGGTCTCTTCCTGGTCACCAACTACGTCCTGCTCTGCTTCGCCCCAGGGCTGCTCGCTATGGTCTTCCTTCAGGTACACAATACAACTGATGAATATAAAGATAATTATTATTATTATGTCTCTCGTCATGTTACTTTTTAAAAAATCCTTTTTTTGTTCAGTTTTGAGCTTTTTTTATTGCATTATTTTGGAAGCGGAAGTGCGTTTTTCCTATTGGATCAGTTTTGGGCTGTTAGCACATTTGCCACCGTCAACTAACTTCTAAAGATAGATTACAACATGTTGTGCATTGCTGTTAAAAGGTGCTTCATCATAGGCTCTCATTTAAACTGTTGCATCCAACCAACAGGTCAACTATGCTGTAGTGACTTCCACTGAGGTGGCCTACCTTTCCTACATCTACAGCGTGATTCCCATTGAGAATTACCAAAGAGCCACTGGCTACGTGCGCAGTGCCATGCTGGTTGGATATACGTTTGGAGCGAGCCTGGCCCAAGTGCTGGTCTCCGTGGCAGGTAGGGCCTTTACCGATAAAAACTGAAGAGCAATGAGATTTTTCTTGATTCTTGAAAAAAATTGAATATTCCGATTTGTTTTGCTGTAAATATATGAAGATGATCAGATAGCCTATCAACTGAATATATATAAACAAATATTAGATACATATCTGTATTTGAGGCCGAGTTAGATAATGGATACTCTTAAAGACAGATAAATATCTCCTTTTTACGAAATGTCTTCAACAATTCGAGCGAGCACTGATGAAGTATGAACTCTAATCCACAGAATTGGATTTATTCTACCTTAATGCGATCACTCTGGGGACTGTAAGCATGGCTCTCCTCATCTCCTTCTGGTTGCCCATGCCCCAGAGGGGTCTGTTCTTCAAAGGGAAAAAGGATGCAGCTGTGAGCTCCAGTTCCCATCAGACCGGGTCTCTGGGAGCAGACAGGCCCGAGGAAGCGGTGATGGATAAGGAGGAGGTCGGCTCCAGGAAAGAGAAGATGGAGCTTGATGTTAGCGGAGGATGGCACAGCTGGGAAAATATGGCCACTGCAGGCCATCTACTCTGGAAGAGCTTCAAGGAGACGTATTCTTCAAGGCAATTTTTTTTTCTCTCATATATTTTAACCATGAACCTTTAGTGAGCATACACACGTTTTGCACGTCTTTATGATAGTTCAATGTATTTTACTGCAGCAAATGAACACATAATCTCTTCATCGTGATTACAATCAGTTTAAATAATGACCACCGTGCAGGAATGTCATCTATTGGTCTCTGTGGTGGGCTCTGGCCACAGCTGGATACGAGCAGATTTTCAACTACGTCCAGCTCATGTGGGACCACATAGAGCCATCTGCTACATCATCCATCTACAACGGGGCGGTGGAGGCTGCCTGCTCCCTTGTGGGTAGGAATCGCTTTAAGTCTGTAATAATAGAGAGAGATAAACATAAAGAAAGAAAGATACATTGTGGTGCTCCTATTTCTGGTTGGAACATATTTGAGCCTATTCATTCTGATTCAGTATCATCATGTCAAAACACTAAAAAATAGTGAAAGTTGCCTTTTTGACACTGAAATCTCACAGAAGATAAGATAAGTAAATCAAAAGAAGTTAAAGAAGCTTTTGGGGGGTTTCACTTTGCTATGGTGTGTTAGGTTTGTGGGACTCCTTTGTTTATTATATCCTAAGGGGCGGGACATCTGTAAGTGGTTGACCAATCACAACAGAGCCGGCCAGCTAACCAATCAGAGCAGACTGGGCTCTGGTTTCAGACAGAGGGTGAAAAGAGGTGCTGCAGAGAAAATAAAGGCCTTTTTGAACATTAAAGCATGGAGACATGTTCCAGTAGACACTACATACTGATATGAACCTGAAAATGAGCAGAATAGGGCCCTTTGAACTATGTTATTGGTCTGTGTAGAGTGGTAGGGTTTGTACTTAAGAATATGAATAGAAATAACAATACTAACATACTGTCGTTGCTGCTATATTGTAAAACCATGTCATAAATACTTGTGTATGCTGCTCTTGCTCTTTTGCACTTTTTGCATATCATGTATTTTGTTTTTGCTATGTTTGTAAAATGTAATTTTCTTAAATGTTTTATGTGAGGGACTGCGGATGGAAAGTAGCTCAAAGCTAAATCTGGCACTGTTACGCTTGACACATTTGAATGTTTTAAGTGTTCATTACTGTGCATGGTCCCTGCCAAATAAACGATTAAATACAAATAAAATAAAAATACGATAAAACACTGATCAGCTGAATGAACATAATACATAAGAGTACATGAAGGTATGTGCAGGTGCGAGTGAAAGTCGTATACATGCAGTGCAGGTTGCTTTCACATGGGTTACATGGTTAACCCTTGATTGTGCATGTTTTATGGGGGGTAAAGACTGCAGCACAAGCACATTTTATCGAGTAAAGTGGAAAAAAAGAGCAAAAACAATGTAATTAAAAACGGCCATGTCTGATGGAACGTGCCTATCTGGCTTGCTATAAGAAAACTTGGAAAACGTGAATTTAGAAAGGGAATGGCAGCACCATGGCTTTTGGTTTACGCTCAACCTGGCTCAGCATGAGAAGAAGAAGAGTAATTCCTTCAATTAAGGAGAAGGAGATAGAGATAGGAGGTAATGGATTCTCAGATTATTGCTGATAGTGGATCCGAAGAGCCGGGTGAAAGCTGCGGAGGCTAAAGAAACGTGTGTGCATACGTTTAGGAGCTGCGTTCAAATAAATAAGTGTAAGGATGAATGAAGCATGGAGGAGGTGTTGTCCACTGGAATACCTTACCGATGATTAATAACCCCTTCTGCTCTGTGGGACAGGTGCTGTAGCAGCCTTCTCCGTGGGCCACCTGAAGGTGACCTGGGCGGTGTGGGGGGAGCTGGCGCTGGGCTTGTTCTCTGCAGTGGCGACGGGTGCTGTGTTTCTCATGGCGCTCACCAGCAGCATCTGGGCGTGCTACGCTGGTTATGTCATATTCAAGTCCTGCTACATGCTCCTCATTACTATCACAACGTAAGCTCACTGTGGAATATCACCATGTCCGTTTCTTATTTTAAAAAACCCAATATCTCTGCATATGGAGGAACCATGGTTGAACCATGGTGGAATAAGTTCTCTGATTTCTCCATTTTATTTAGTTTATTCTGGGTAGCTAACACTGTATTGGATTAATATGTTGTATTCAAGGGGGAGAAGCTGGAGTTTAACACCATACAATTAATGTAGTAGAGTGAAAAGTAAAAATTACCTTCAAAATGTAGTGGAGTAAAAGTACTAGCATAAAGTGAAGTACAAGCACCTCAGTACTCTAGTAGCCTACATTAATTAAGTAAACGTACTTAGTTTAATTCCTCACGTTTTTCTTTTCTTAATATTAATAACTTATCTTTTTAGATTTCAGATTGCATCTAACCTCTCCATGGAGTGCTACGCTTTGGCTTTTGGTATCAACACTTTTGTAGCCATTTTACTACAGACCATTATAACACTTGTGGTCGTTGATGAAGCCACGCTGGGACTGGACATTGTGACACAGGTGTGTGCGTCAGGAATCATTTCTGTCCTTTTTTATTTCAATGACAGAACACAAGGAATGTAACTCTAATTGGAGGAAGAACGTAAGATTTATTTTTGGATAACTAAAATGTGAATAGAGGGCGACACCTTGTGGTTATCCTTCACTATTACATGTAGACAGGTTTCTTGAAAATGTATGCATTGCATGACTAAAATAATGATGATTTGGATGGCTGACTGACTGAGTGCTCTCCCTGCAGTTCATCATCTACGGCAGCTACTACGCCTTCATCTCAGTGCTCTTTCTGATCCGAGGGACATACACCGCCTGCACAAATCAGAGAAATCCTGAACTCACACAAAGCAAGGAACACGAGTCCAGTGGGGATGTGATCTCTGCGGAGCGTTTCTGAACAACATCAATAAACTGTTACAGTCTAAATAATATTAAAACAAGCAGGTGATTGTTCCATTTGTTCCCTGAGGAATACAATGGTAATTTCTCACTGCTGTCTACGGATGGGATTAGGGCAACGTGTGAACTATGTTTGAGATCTTAACAAAAGTAGAAAACATTTCCGAATTCTCACAAAAAAGTCAGAATTTTGATTTTAATCTCAAGACTAAAATAAAAATATATTTTGGTTAAAGGTGGGGTAGGTAAGTTTGAGAAACCGGCTCGAGATACACTTTGTGTTATATTCCATGGAATGCTCTTAACATCCCGATAGCAATGAATATCTTAAAGATCAAATGCAAAGCTTCCAAATATGCTACATTTTTATAGAAATGTTGTTTTTAAGACTGCCTGTATTTAAAAAAAAAATTTAAATCGAGATAATACACCCAAAAAAAAGCTTTTTATTGATCCAAAACTCGACCCAAAGCCGTCTGAATTTCTGACATGTAATTCCCAGCAGCCTCCGCGCGCCTGACGTAATAGTGGCCAAACAGTCTCTGGACCAAATATCCCGACTCGGCAGTCTCGGTCACATGTTTTTCGAAAAGAAAACTGAATTAACATGGGTTATTGTTGAGCTTTTTGTTGTACGAACGGTGCGGGATCTGGGAGAGTTTTACATACATTTCTCAAAGACCAAATCATCCGCAAAAAATTGATTTTTTTAGTGAATCGTGTTGGATGGCAACCGACAAAATGGAGCAAGTTGTGTTCTGATCACTTCGCGTGTGATGCATACGACGTTGATCCTGCTATCATGAAGTCTGTTGGTGGAGAAGCATTAATAGCACGTCGGAGGCTGAAACCCGGAGCCGTCCCCTCCACATTTCAGCACAAGAAACCACTGAAAGAACGAAAGAGCAGCCGGGCGATGCAGAAACGCCAAAGAATTGAGGTAAACAACTTTTGATTAGATTTCAAAGCGCACAGAGCACAGCAGATAACGCAGATAACGGAATTGCAGTTGTATTGCTTATAGAGGTGGGCACCGTTAGATTCTGTGTCTTTACGATCATAAACAATGTGTTGGATGTGGAGCTAGGATAAGTAATAAGGGCGCTAGGAGTGATAGGTTAGCATTTTTCGCTCGGGGCTAATTCACTGTTAGCATTGTAGTTTATCTGCAGCTTATCTGCAGCATTCATCGCTCCTCCACTCATAACGGAAAATGTCGAACGTCCTACAGTCGGTGATGCAGACTTCTTCTCCCATCTCTTCCTTCACTTTCCCATAGTTGTGGCAGCACTTGTTTTCTCGGCTTGTAGGCATGGTCTGGCAGTTTCCACATCTACACCAATTCTCAGCACCCTCAGCCTCTTCCTCAGATGGCGAACTTGAATCATCGCCATCAGCACTTTCATCTGTGATATCAGGTGACGTTTCCTTGTATTTCCTCTTCGACATCAGAGGCTCGTATAGATATGGTTGGATGTCGACAACATACTCCAGATATTGGGTGGCCTCCGACTCAGAATCAGACATGATAGACGAAACTAAGTTGTACTATCGGCGGAAGCCGCTGGTCAAAAAAAGGTCAAATTTCACTTGTTTTGCATCAATCTTGATACAGGGTACTTATTATATGTTATAGTTTGGATTCCTAAAGCTTTTAGTCTATAGTCTACTCAGAATCAGACATGATAGACGAAACTAGTTGTACTATCGGCGGAAGCCGCTGTGATTGATAAGCCAGGTGGAAATATGTTTGGCACATCTGACGTCACGCGCCGCCATCTTGCGGAGGAGCGGCGGAGAAAATAAATCGTCGGACTTGGTGTTGGGGGTTGAACAAATTAATATTGCGCATTGCCAGACTCATATTATCTCCGATTTTAATACTGCAATATCTTAGATAGTGTTGTAGCTATATGATTTCGATTGTACTGGCAATTATACAAAAAGCTTTTGCATTTGATCTTTAAGTGCTTTGACAAAAATCCATACAAAAATTCATCTGTGGAAGCCGTAGTGCTGTAAAAAGCACGACCAATAATTTTAGCCGGCCCGGCAAAAACAACTGGATGGCCTACCTGCTTCACGGACCGTCCACACAGCGGCGTGCGTTGACGCTTGGCGGTGGGCGTGTCTGAAGCTTGGGGAGTCAACGCGACCAACAACCAATCACATACATTTCCCGCCCCCGACATAGCAAAAAAGGAAAAGCCCAGTTCTTCTCCACTATTGCCAAAATGGATGCCAGTTTTGTAGCAAGGGTAGCACGGGCAAGTGTAGTAGCAAGGGTGGCTTTAGTGTATGCAATGTCTCGCAGGAGGCCATGTAGTGTGCGTCGCTGTTGGGTACATCCGATACTCAGAAAACGTCTGCAACGGGGGGAATACCACGTTCTTGTCCAAGAGCTCCGCCTGGATGATGTACTGTTTCAGCAGTACTTCAGGATGAGCAAAGACGTGTTCGACGAGTTGCTCGGAAAAGTGGGTCCACTGATTTCAAAGGCAGACACCCATATGCGTTTGTCAATCGGACCCGCCGAGCGACTCGCCCATCTGCCTACGGTACGTTTTGTGTATTTCTACTTCTTTAACCTGACTCTAATATAAAGAGAGAGAATGCATGCCATGGATGAATGATGAATGAAGTCTGTGATTTAGTTCAGATGGATGACATTAATTAAGATAGCTAGGTAAATACAGTATTGCTCCCCTGTGTACATGGTGTGGTGTTGTGTGGGGGGGGGGGTCATGTGTCGGACTGTTTGTGTGTTGTGTGTGTGTATATGTGTATGTGTGGGGTATGTGTGTGTCTGTGGTATGTGTGTGTTGGGGGGGTGGTATGTGTGTGTGGGGTGTGTGTATATGTGGTCTGTGTGTGTTGGGGGGGTGGTATGGGGGGGGTATGTGTGTGTGGGGTTGTGTTGTATATGTGGTATGTGTGTGTGTGGTCTGTGTGTGTGTGTGTTGGGGGGGTGGTCTGGGGGGTGGTATGTGTGTGGGGGTGTGTGTATCTGTGGTATGTGTGTGTTGGGGGGTGGTATGGGGGGGTCTGTGTGTGGGGGTGTGTGTCTCTGTGTGTGTGGGGGGTCTGTGTGTGGGTGTCTGTGTGTTGTGTGTGTGTGTGTGTGTGTGTTGTTTGTTGGGGGGGGTCTGTTGGTTTGTGTCGGTGGTCTGTGTGTGTGGGGACATATACTTTTTTTTAATCATGTATTTATTTTTTTCTCAGGTACCTGGCAACCGGTGACTCATACAGGACCATAGCATTCAGCTATCGGGTCGGGCATGCAACCGTGGCTGTCATTGTCAGGGAGGTTGCGGGTGCCATCTGGACCGCCCTGGTTGAGGAAACCATGCCGGTACCACAGACCGAGGACTGGAGAGCCATCGCTGCTGGGTTCCAGGAGCGCTGGAACTTTCCGAATTGCGTTGGTGCCATTGATGGGAAGCACGTGGTGATCCAGGCTCCGGCAAATTCTGGGTCCCTGTACTTCAACTACAAGTCCACCCACTCCTTGGTACTGCTGGCTGTCGTGGATGCCCAGTACCTCTTCAGGGTAGTGGATGTTGGAGGCTTTGGAAGGAGCAGCGACAGTGGGAGCCTGCGGAATTCTGCATTTGGAGAGAGCCTCAGAGATGGCAGTATGCGGCTACCACCTGACACCGTCATCCCAGGAGCAGAGCGGCTCGGCCTTCTTCCCCATGTTGTTGGGAGATGAGGCTTTTCCGCTGCTGGACAACCTGCTGCGTCCATTCCCTGGACGCCAGATCACACGCGAGAGGAGGGTGTTCAACTACCGCCTCAGTCGGGCCAGGTTGGTGGTTGAATGTGGCGTTTGGCATCCTCTCATCTCAGTGGAGAATGTTCCGGGCGTGTCATCACACACCAGCCCGGAGGGTAGCAGAGTTGTGTGTGAAGGGCCACCTGTGTGTTGCACAACTTCCTCCGCAGGAAGACGATAGGAAGGACATCACGCACACCTATCGCAGAGTCCACGGATGAAGCTCCAGCTAATCCAACCCTGCGTGATTGCACCGAGGATGGGCTCCAACAACGCCACACGCAGATCCATCCAACTGCGGGAGGTCTTCTGCAGCTATTTCAATGAGGAGGGTGCAGTGCCATGGCAGCAGAATGTGGTGTAGGGTCACCATGGCTCTTTTAAGAGCCTCCAAACCAAAAGCTCTTTTAAGAGCTACCCATATTTTCTTTAAAAGCAAATATTCCAAATGAGCCATTTTAAAAACAAACATTCCTATAAACATGTTTCTTAAATTGATATTATGCATTGCTAACAACCTTTTTCCTTCAGCCCTGTTTTTACTGATAAACCACTCATGATTTCAACAGGTTTTCACATGAACATTATACAGAAGACAGCACATTATACATCGACATACATGAAGCTTCTGTATCTTCCGTATGTTGTAACTGACAAACGACATGAACAAGTGAAGACACAGTATAGCCATAACATTACTTTAAATAACTTTTATTTATAATAATGTATATGTAATATTGTGAGTGAAGTGTGTGCAGTGATTGAGTGTAAAACATGTAGTGGGATCAGTATGGCTGTAAATAACACAAAAAAAAGTGATGAATCAGTCTTCCTCCTGCTCTGCTTCAAAAATGCCTTATGAATGGCAATTTCAGCCTTAACCTTCTTTGCATGGACATCCTTCGCAATGAAGGCAAGAGGCCCCGGACGAAAACAAACTCGTCCTCCCTCCACCACTGGACGAGGTTGAGGTAAGTGGCATGGAGAGAACAGGAGCGATGGCTGACAGCACCCTTTCTCAAAGGGCGGACATCTCCCTTCCCCTTCTCCTTTTTCCCCGGCCCTTCAACATTATCCTCCTCCTCTCCTGTCTGCCCTGCCTCACTTGCTGGCTGCGGGCTGGCTGAGTCTCACCAAGGCTTTCGTCTAGCTGGCTTGGCTCTCATCCTCTGGCACCTGGCTGGGGTCAGGAGTAGTACAGGGCGTGTGAGGCAGGGTTTTGCCGGGGGATATTGCTGGACGTCTCACGGTCAATGAGAAATGGGGTTTAAAAAACCCATCACTGCCGTGAAACGCCAGGGCTTATATATCACCGGGTGATTCACTACCGCTATAATTAATTTCTCCTCCATTTTTTGGAATATGAGGAAAAGACTGCGTAGTCTCTCCAGCATACACGCGGTTTGATTGGCTAGCGCAGATTTGCTTGAACGGATTTCATTGGCTGACGCCTCCATCGAGGCGTCAAAAGTTGAACATTGCTTAACTTTTGACGCCAGCTACGCCAGCAACACTCCACGTCGCTGCCCAAAATGCAGTTTCGGCTAAAAGTGACGTCACCCCATTCAAAGTGAATGGGCCGAAAGCGTTGGAAGCTTCAACGCACGCCGCTGTGTGGACGGGCCTCAGCCTTCCATCTGTGCACAAACTTATCTCGTGCCCTCATTGGTCATGTGCGCGTTCGTGTGGTGTTGGAGGAGGGGCTCTGTAAGGAAGTGGCACATTTTCCCGGCTGTGTATTTTCAAATCCTAGCGCACTCGAGCAGGGTTGCGTTCCGATATAATCCAAAAATTAGCTCCTAAATTCTAACCCTATCTCCTATTCCTTGACCTCTGAGTGAAACGTCACGGGGTTAAGGGATAGTGGATAGGAGAATTCAAAAGGATTTAGGAGAAGAGACTGTGGTACTAGAGAATCCGAATGCACTTTCAATATCCGACGTGTTTATGGATGCGCCAGCGGACGTCATTGTGTGCGTCTGCTGCTGTGGGGAAACTATGAAACTACAGTTTTCTATACAGCGGACTACAACATGGAATGTTCAATAAGAACGAGGACTACTGTAAACTCATCTAGAGACTCTGCAACCGTGCTCTTGATGCTGCTGCTTTATGCTTTATGAACGTGACAACAGAGAAACATATTCTTCAGGACCAAAGTTGGAATTGAATAAAAAAGGAAAGTGGGAAATCGTGGCTCGTCACCCTCTCCCTCCGGTCCACATATGATTGTATGAACTATTAAAAGATCTTAAAAATCAATAAAATGTATTTATTATAAACGTTAGTCCTTAACAATCTATCACTGTGTACATCACCATTCAAACATCTTTTAAAAGTTGAAACAACCCCACACAGCTCATGGAAATGGTTGACTTTATTTGATCATTTCAGTAAAAAACTAACGTTCATATTTCTCTTTTTGATTATAATACTGATGAACGTTCAAAACAAAGCACTTTGGCAGACTTACCACATACGTTTTAAAATGCTTAATAAGCACCGTAACTTTCATGATATCATTTCTCCCATTATCGTTTTGTGTCCGTGACTGTTGAGTGACGGCAAATGCTGGGCGGCTTGCAATGCATTGTGGGGGCAGCATTTTCTCCTCTCCTTCGGTTAGGGAGGTCCAGTGGTTCCTAAGCTAAAGGAGGTTATAAAAGAAGTTTGAAAACCTCCTTTCCTTTCATTTGAGAATTGGAACGGCACTTATCATGGCTGCCAAGTGACGTACTTCCGGGGTCATTTCACTTGGTTAGGAAGGTTCCTAAGCTAAATGGACTATTGGAATGCAACCTGGTTTCTCCAAATTACCTACCCCACCTTTAAAATCTAAAATAAATCACACGTGGCCCTTATCCTCTTCCGTAGATCTCAGTGTAGGCGATACTTCACGCTGGAGGGAGTTGATCTACACATTGGATAAATGCAACATGTGATACAAAATTATAACAACATATAATTTAATCATTTTACATGCGAGCAAAAATGCCACTCAGTTTTAAAAAGAAAAGGCCCATCTGTTCTTAGGTCATACATAAACCCAAAAGAAAGAAATCCCCATTAAACAAATATATTTAACTTGCATCTTATTTGACTTGTTCATGACGTGAGGACCGTCTGCTGTTGTCTTACTTGTCTGTTTTGTAACATCTGACAAGCTTCAGCTTGCACCTTTTTTGACTTGTTGCTTATGCATTGTTGCTGACTGACCATGGGGGTATTTTTGATATTACCTTTACAATAATCTAATCTAAATCAAACGGCACAATAAAGCTGCAATTACTACTGATAATAATTCCTGATTTGTCTCGTTGGTTTGTGACACATTTATCTTGGCTTGAACGTCGTCAGGTGAGAACTGCTCTTTGACCGGGTAGTTGATTTACAAGAACAACACTTCAAACAACCAGAAGTGTTTCCAGGCAAGGAGGCAACACGGAGAGAGTAGCATGCAGAGGAACATAAACACATACAGAATACACACCTGACAGAAAATGGAGGCAGTGAGGAGGAGGTGGCAGGCAGACTGGAGGTATCCCACTACTCTGCTGTGTATCTACGGATTCTTCAGCACAGTGAAACCCCTGGAGCCTTTCCTCACCCCCTACCTGACCGGACCGGACAAGAACCTGACAACAGAACAGGTAAGACAGAGAATGACTTCAGCTCTTCATCAGGCAGCAATACGTAGTCAGGATACACAAATAGGTAACTGTAATCATAAAAAATAAGTAATCAGATTACTGTTATTTCTAAAAATGGTGGATTACAATGTAAAAAAACAAAAATAGCATATAGTGTTTGTTCTGTAGGCTGATACTTTAAGTGTGAATCTATACACCTACTGCCTGAAGCTGATTTATGGTTTTCACTTTCTTTAGTTAATTTGTTCTTTTTGTATTCAGTAGGTTCACTATGTTCATAAAATAGTGTGTGTGAGCTTAACTGTGTGTATTGAACAAAAACGGAGCATTTTCTGTCAGCTCAGATTTGATTTCTGCTTTTCTTTAACTGAAGTATGTGCTCATGTGTTTCAGTGTTGGTGTAGGCTGCTGCCTGAATGTGCTGAATGAAAGGCAGGTTTTTCCTATGAATAAAACATCTGAGCACATAGACACATTTTTGACCCTAAATATCTTGGTGTGTTCTTTTCTTGAAACAAACTATTCATCTATATTTTTGCTTAAAGGTTTCCCAAATGATTAATCAAGAAAGTAATTAACCATATTTTGCATTGCTCTGCTAGAAGGCCTAATGTGATTACTTTTCGAACGGGCAGAAATTGCATTTTCATGTTAAATCATTACAAAATAAAAAGTTGGTGAAACACTTTTTAGACTTCAGTACAATCCTCATTACTTGAGCGATACAAATCAGTATCATAAAACCTTTGATTTCGCTATGGACAGATCATGGCAACATGTAAGATAAGATAAGATAAGATGGACATTTATTAATCCCTGTGGGGAAATGCAGTAGTTCAAACAGCAACAGGGTATGGATGAAAAACAGGACAGGTTAATACAATTAAAGATTAAAAAATACAAATGAAAAAAAACGAAATGAATTCAAATGAACATATATACATATCGTATGTATCTATGGTGTTTCCTCTTTAGGTGAACAACCAGATCTTCCCGGTGTGGACGTACTCGTACCTCTCGGTGCTGGTGCCGGTGTTCCTGCTCACTGATTGGCTGCGGTACAAACCGGTGGTTATCTTCCAGTGTCTCTCCCTCTTCGCCACAACGGCCACGCTGCTCTGGCTCAGGAGTGTCGCAGCCATGCAGGCCATGCAGTTCTGCTACGGGGTGGTGACAGCCAGCGAGGTGGCCTACTTCTCCTACATCTACAGGTCATTCACAGAGAGCTGAGCAAGGCCCTAAAACTAGCAGTGGTGGAAAGTAACTGAGTACAGTATACTCAAGTACTAGTCGGCACTTAAAGAGGCCCTATGCTTCTTGGGGTTTTCCTAGTGTGTTATATAGGTTGTTGTGCATGTAAATGGTCTGCAAAGGCTACAACCCTAAAGGTTTTAGAGACATGTCCCAGTCGAGGCACAAAATACCAATCCATTTTAAATACAAATTTGAGTGTCTGTTTTGTAACATCTGACAACTAAAAAAGTCTTGCACCTTTTTTGACATCATGCTTTGCTGACTGACCATACGGATATTTTTGATATTATCTTTACAATCATCTAATCTAAATGAAACAATAAAGCTGCAATTACTGCTGATAATTCAAGGACATTAAAGATAAAATCCTGATTTGTCTGGTTGGCTTGTGACTCATTTATCTCGGCTTGAACATGCAGAGTAAGGCACCAATACTGGCAGTGGTGGAAAGTAACTGAGTACAGTATACTCAAGTAATGTTCTTAAAGAGGCCCTAGTGCTTCTTGGGGTTCTCCCTTTCCTGTAGTGTGTTATATAGGTTGTTGTGCATGTAAACGGTCTGCCAAGACTAAAACCCCCTGAAGTTGTTTAGAGACATGTCACAGTAGAGGCACAAAATACCAATATGAACCTGAAATTGAGCATAATATCAACTTTAAATAGAAGTTTGAGTTATTTTTCCATTTAATGCTACTTTATACCTCTACATCAGGTAAGCTAAATGTTGCACTACTCTACTTTTTCCTGTATGCGACAGCTTTAGTTCACGGATGAAGATATTGCAATAATAACACATGATAAACTTTAAACATGTGTCTCTAAAGACAAAACTATTGACATAACTGTAAAAGGTACAAATAGATAAAATAATGTGCATTTCAAACAGTAAAATGCTACTTGATGCAACAATATTTAAAATGTAATCATGTCAGATATAATATATCACATATGGAGAACATTTTTGCTGATGATACTTTTCTGTATTTCTACTTAAAGATTTTGAATATAGAACTTGTAATGGAGTATCTTGGCATCAATGCGTTGGTACTTTCACTCAAGAAAAGGGTTTGAATGCGGGGAGGTACCAGGGGGTGACATTGTGCTTTGTTGGGATTGTCATGTCATGTTGCATTTCTTCCTTACAGTGTGGTGGATCTGAAGCGCTACAGGAAGGCCACGTCTTACTGCCGCAGTGTGCAGCTGCTGGGCTACACCGTGGGCTCCGTGCTGGGCCAGCTGCTGCTCAGTTTCCAGCTCATGTCCTACGACAACATCTGGTGTTCACTCTGGTTCTCACCTCCATCGCTCTCCTCGTGGCCTGCCTCCTGCCAATGCCACGGCAGAGCATGTTTTTCCACAGAAATAAAACAGTGACAGAGAGGATAAAGACGCATGGAGATGGGACTGAGGGTTCAACAGAACACTCACAGAGAGCAATGGTCTCCCTGGAGGAACCAAGAGAGGAAATGGTGGAGAAAGAAGCAGGAGAAGGAGTTGATGAAAAGGATAAGAACCTTGAGGTTGGTGCGAGAAGCTGCAGCCAAGTCCTCCTCCAGCTGTGGAAAGACTTCCTCCAGTGCTACTCCTCCAGACAGCTGCTCTACTGGTCAGTGTGGTGGGCGATGGCCACCTGCGGCTACAACCAGACAGCCAACTATGTGCAGGTCAGTTGTCAAAGCAAAAAAACGAAAATGTTCAGCTGTACATCTGCTTGGTTTGCATAGTGAGCCCTTGAAATGGGGCCCTAGTATGCTCTTTTCAGGTTCATATTGGTATGTTGTGCCTCTACTTAATGATCAGAGTAATGTAAATTGCAGGTTCTGTGGGAGCATGTGCAGCCTTCTCAAAATGGCAGCATCTACAATGGAGGCGTGGAGGCAGTGTCCAACCTGTTAGGTGAGCAACATCCAGTGGAAAGTATGCATTACTCAAATCAAATCACATGTCCATTACATGTGAAGATCCATAATTGATAAGGGTACTTAAGTTAAAGTATGACCAGGAAAACGTAGTTGAAGTAGTAAGAGTAAAAGTACCCATTGCCAGGAAAGCAGAAATAT